CGATCGCGTCTATAGAGACGTTTTGCAGCGCTACCTGATCGTAACATTCATTGACGCCCACGCGAGGTGAGAGGCATTGTACGCTACATGTTTTGTCCCACAAATTCATTGAGGTTTGTGATAGTTTAACAGTCATGGATCGATCCACAAAAGACCGCCTAGACGAATTCGATCAGCATGTGATGAACCACATCCCGATCCGCCTTATCCGCCTATCAGACATGACGCTTGTTAGTCGTGAGGATGTGAGGGAGCACTTCAGGGCGCGTTTTCTTCAGTCTTATCATCCACCATCGAAAACTGTCAAGTACGCCACTCTATCTCATCGATGGGGCAAAGGAGAGCCCAGCTATGATACATTTGAAGAGATGAAGAAGTCCGAGCTTAAAACTCCAGGATTTGAAAAGCTGATGAACTTCTGCGAAAAGGCTAGGGAGTACGATGTGGAATTTGCGTGGTCGGACACTTGCTGCATCGACAAGAGCAGCAGTGCCGAGCTCGACGAGTCGATTCGCTCCATGTTCCAGTGGTATCGCAAGTCGGAGATCTGCATCGCCCATCTGGCACAAAGCAAGACAATGGACGACATACCGCGCGACGAATGGACGGAGAGAGGTTGGACCTTACAAGAACTCCTTGCACCCATCCGTATCAAATTCTTCAACCAGCACTGGATACCCATGACGCGTAATCAAAATGACAAACATCCCGACACGGAGCGCTCCGGGTGCATCATGTTGAGCACTCTGGAAAGCGCCACTGGAATTCCTCGTCGTGACATCTGCGACTTCGCTCCAGCTGCATTTTGGGTGAATGAGCGGATGCAGTGGGCAGCCAGACGCAAAACAACAAGGGTCGAGGATATGGCCTACTCCCTGATGGGAATATTTAATGTCAGCCTGCATATCGCGTATGGAGAAGGAGAGCGCGCTTTCGGCAGGCTCATTGAAGCCGTCATGCAGGATGGCGACCCTTCTGTCCTGAACTGGACGGGCCAGGCTGCGAATTATCACAATTCGCGTGCTGTTCCTCGATCACCGCAGTGCTTCGTGGGCGGTCGAGGGTTGGATCTTGGATCTGGGAGACTGGATATGACTATGACCAGTCTTGGACTGCGAGTCCCTCTAGTGATACTCCCTCTCGATCGTCGTTCGACAAGGGACAACTGACAATAAAATGCACGTGACATTGGAATGCTCGCTGTGTTCAGCCATCAAGATTGATAGCGCTAGTGCCAACGAGATCTTCAGCGGCCCTGGAACACCGTACGCAATCGGGATCGTCAATTATTCCCTCGTCAGCGACGGAACACGCGAATTTCTAATGATCAGGGGCAAGTCGGCTGGCTTCCTCCTGTTCAAACCTTCACCCGAACGCGCTTCAGAAGCTTCAAGACCTGTTAACTGTGTTGGGCTTCAGTTTGTGCCTTCCCCGGAGCAGGTGGTGTTTTCATGGAAGGCGCTAAATGGGGGCTTGGCCGAGGTTCACTTCCCAAATATCTTGAGTGACGACATTTTTTACATTAGTCGTGAGTACCTAGAGATTGTCTACCTGTAGCAATGGCTCTACGATAGCGAACATCGCCAGGACCAAGTAGTGTTACTAACCGTTGTCTGTTTGGTATATGCTTTACTGTACAGTGTAGATGACCATCATCACCTTGGAGACTCCATATGTGTTTTGTTCCCCTCGAGCAGAGCGTGATAGACCATGATCTACATAGGCTTGTCACCCTCCTTGCTTGAGATTCAAAGCTTTATCATGCATTACTCACATGACCCAACATATATGGACCTTCGTCCTGCTGACCATGTAGCGGCCAGAATGACCCTCCCTTACCCTCTCTCCGCCAGTGGTAACCAGCCTTCGACAGAATATCTCGCCGCACAGCGCATTAAGGCACTCCAAGAAGACCGATCGAAGCAGACTCTCACCACGAGTACTAGAAGCACTCCAGATTCTCAAGTTTTCTTACAGACAGGAGACACTATGTCTTCACAAGGGACCGACCTGATTGCAACAGAGGATAACTACCAGATTTCCTGGCCCGTGACACGAAGGGCTGCACAGGAGTTGATAGATACAGGGAAGTTTGACGAGCTTGCTGATCTATTACAAGATGTCGACGACGATAACATAGAATGAAACATAGCCACTTCATATCTACTCAACTTTACGGTAGAATGTAGCAAACTTTTCATTTGGCTGGAGCTTTGAGCCGAATTCATTACACTTCGGTTCGTTCCACTTCGACCGTCGAACTTATAACGAACTCCTACATCATTTCGATTCGGTTCAATTTGTGGTAATACTAGTTTGACTAGGGGAGTCCCCTAGACAGGAGTCCCCTGGTCAGACTGTCTATGTTGTTCTCACGCACCCATGAAGTCGTGCCCACACCTTTCACATCTCCACAGCAATGGCACTGGTTAGGAAAGAGCTTGAGCTCTCTGATACAGTGAGCTTACTTCATTATTTCGGCCTGCTCTTTTCTAAATTAAAATTTCCAGCTATGCGCATTCAGTGGCGTGCAACCTAGTCCTCGCCGGCTTAAGGAAGGCCTGTCTGATGCTGTAGCAGTTTTCTCTTCTCGTCCTCGTTCTATTAGTCTTAGTCTCCTCCAATCTCTCTTTCATCATGCGCACAAGCCCTAAAACATGGTTTCTACCACTTTAACTGTGTAACTCACGGAGGCAAACTAAGTATCGCAGGTGATTTACCTCTTGATTGTGTGATTTGCTAGTTACTTTAATTTTCTAGTAGCCAGGCAGTTGGACAGGATTGTACAATTGTTCGGGAAAATACTAACAGTCCCTTCATCTACTCGTTGACGTGTTTGTGACCAATGAACTTCCGCAGAATTTTCAAATATGTTCTGGAGGTTATATTAACTCAGAAGTACCTACGTGGAGTCTGTCACGGTCGTTGCCGACCCGGTTCTGGTCAGCGCGTCGACGCTCGACCCTCAATGTTCAACTTGATATGAAAACGATCTCCCCGATCAGATCTGAATGTTGTTGTGCGCTTCGTTCGCCGAGGGAGCGAGACCTAGGCGAGAGGGATGTCTAAGGCTGCGCCTGCTTTTGGGGCTCTCGCATTCGCATTGGACGACTGAGACTCATGGTTCAAGTAAATCACTAAGGATACGTACATGCACAGGTATATTTACTACAGGAAGATTTGTTGATTACTGAGCTGGCGACAAATCCTTAGCTCCAGATATGATGCAAGTGTTTTATCCAGTATCTCGCAACTTAAAACACAACCGCACCACCACCCTTCGTGTCCACGCGGCGATTGATACCACCGACAAGGACCTTGATCAGCATGTCAGCATGCAGTTGGCCGATATAGGGCGTTGTGTCAACGATGTCCTGACGGTGCTTTTAGTAAATCATGATGATACGTGAGGTAAAGTTATGGCATACCCGTATATGTGCCTGCTTCAAATCATCCAGCTTTCTAAGGAACTGTGCTGCATGCCTCGAATTCCCTATCTGAACGAACTGTATCCCGACCTATAGCTTTGTCGGCACCAAGTCCAATAAACAAGCGATGCGTAGTCACCTGTCCAAGTGGCCACTTGTCGGCCTCAAGCAGCCTAGCAAAATAGACGATCACACTCTCTACATCGTCCGCTACGCGAATAGGTCAGAGAATTCGGCCATTAGGTGTCGCGCAGACTCACATGACGCGCCATCAGTAATGATGAGCACATTCAAGGGCTTGATGTTCTTGCATGAATCCTCCCGTCCCTTAGCAGCATACAGTTCACGGGAAATAATCGCCGAGGATCATACTGAGGCAATTCCCAAACAGTGGTTGGGCCACAGGGCCGGAATTTTGCGAACTGCTCGTGGACAACTCTGGAGTCCTATTGAAGCGTCATCAGGATCGATTTGTGACGTGCAAGTATGCTACCTACCGTAACTCCCGTCATGGTTGCGCTGCATCAAGAAATTGTATTCTATGCCAGCGCACTAGGGTCATAGTGTTGGCTGCTACATCGAACGAGCTGGCGAGAGCCTGTTCCGCTGAACATCAGGGGGATTTTCATCTGCATGGACAAAATACGACAAACAATCATACCTCATCATAGCGACCAGTCATAGATGACAACGGTCATTTGTTGTTTGCCGTGCCAATTGATGATTTTAAAATATGTCCGGGTAATTTCTCCCCTCCCCTTACACGGCCAATCGAAAAAATCATAGAATCTATGTCTAAAAATAGGGTTATAGCCCAAGAGAACTTGGAACCACACTGACCAACAACTTAGATGCTGTTTGACTGAAGATCATATCGTCCATCTCGTTAAGTAGTTGAAGAATCAGAGAACACTGCAACTAATGTGCATCGCACACCTGCCACAATAGATACAAACAAGGTGACAAGTCAAGGTTTGAGATCATTTTCTTCTCGGTCCTAGGGCCGGGACAAGTCAAGGTTTGAGATCATTTGGGTGACAAGTCAAGGTTTGAGATCATTTCCGACGCGAAGTCACAATTTCAACTTGGCGAACGCAGCCGGCCAAATGATCTCAAACCTTGACTTGTCACCCAAATGATCTCAAACCTTGACTTGTCACCCAAATGATCTCAAACCTTGACTTGTCCCGGCCCTAGGACCGAGAAGAAAATGATCTCAAACCTTGACTTGTCACCTTGTTTGTATCTATTGTGGCAGGTGTGCGATGCACATTAGTTGCAGTGTTCTCTGATTCTTCAACTACTTAACGAGATGGACGATATGATCTTCAGTCAAACAGCATCTAAGTTGTTGGTCAGTGTGGTTCCAAGTTCTCTTCTAACTCCCGTTGGATTGCTCCTATTTCATCCACCGTACTCGTCCATACGTCCCTGCATACATCTTTATCGCTTTTGTCCACTGTTCAAAGACGGACCAAGGCTATCATGGGAAACTGCCTGTCAAAGGCGCGAACGCGTTCCAGTAAGGGCCAATTTGGTGACTTGTCTGATGATCGTGCAAAGGAGAACAAATTATCTCTTGTTGGGCACACCAGCAACTATGGATCAGTGCTGTCACCATATTCTACCTCTGCTGCATTAGCAATGCCCTTGCCCCCTCACAATGATGCCAAAGGTATTTATTCCCCTCCGAAGTCTCACTCAACATTTATGATTCCACGACCAGCCGTTTCTTCTCCATTTCCGACGCGAGCAGAGTATCTCCGCCAGCCTCTGCGTGCAGAATCGTTGCAAGATGCGCTTCAGACGCTGCGCAATTATGACACCACTATCATCATGGATGATTCTTCATCTATGACTGGTTCGCTGTGGAATGAGGTATGATGTTTGTCGTATTCCTTGTCCATGAGGGCTGAAATCCCCCTGCTGTTCAGGCGGAACAGGCTCTCGCCACGCTCGTCGGTGTAGCGAGCCAATATGACGCCAGTGCCGCTGGCATAGACATACAATTCTTGAACTGCAGCGCAACCATGATGGGAGTTACGGTAAGTAGCATACTTGCACGTCACAAATCGATCCTGATGACGCTTCAATAGGACTCCAGAGTTGTCCACGAGCAGTTCGCCAAATTCCAGCCCTGTGGCCCAACCACTGTTGGGAATCGCCTCAGTATGATCCTCGGCGATTATTTCCGTGACCTGTATGCTGCTAAGGGACGGGAGGATGGATGCAAGAACATCAAGCCCTTGAATGTGCTCATCATTACTGATGGCGCGTCATGTGAGTCTGCGCGACACCTAATGGCCGAATTCTCTGACCTATTCGCGTAGCGGACGATGTAGAGAGTGTGATCGTCTATTTTGCCAGGCGGCTTGAGGCCGACAAGTGGCCACCCGGACAGGTGACTACGCATCGCTTGTTTATTGCACTTGGTGCCGACAAAGCTATAGGTCGGGATACAGTTCGTTCAGATAGGGAATTCGAGGCATGCAGCACAGTTCCTTAGAAAGCTGGATGATTTGAAGCAGGCACATGTACGGGTATGCCATAACCTTACCTCACGTATCATCATGATTTACTAAAAGCACCGTCAGGACATCGTCGACACAACGCCCTATATCGGCCCACTGAGTGCTGACATGCTGATCAAGGTCCTCGTCGGTGGTATAAATCGCCGCGTGGACACGAAGGGTGGTGATTCGGTTATGTTTTAAGTTGCGAGACACTGGATACAACACTTGTATCATATCTGGAGCTAAGGATTTGTCGTCAGCTCAGTACCCAACGAATCTTCCTGTAGCAAATATACCTATGCATGTACGTAGCCTTAGTACTTTACCAGTACTGAATCATGAGTCTCAGTCTCCCAATGCGAATGCGAGAGCCCCAAAATCAGGTGCAGCCTTAGATATCCCTCTCGCCTAGGTCTCGCTCCCCTGGCAAACGAAACGCACAACACCATCCAGTTCCGACATCCAGATTTGACCGGGGAGATCGCCTTTGTATCAAGCCTCCCTCCAGGTGAGATTCAGGGACTGAGATGTAAGAATATTAATGACAGTCATATCAAGGTGAACGTTGAGGGCCGAGCGTTGACGTGCGGACCAGAATCGGGTCAGCAGCGACTGCAACGGAGTCCGCGTAAGTACTTCTGAGCTATAACCTCCAGAACATATCTGAAATTACTGGATAGTGAATAATGCATTCGAGACAGTAGGTTCTGTTGCGCACCCTATATTCGGCCCTCGACATAACTCGATGGGATGAGGTGAGTACAGGGTATCCGATGTCCTGGCAAGTACTGATGGAGCACAGCGTCACAGCCATCGTGTTAGAATGCCTTTTTTTTGAGATTCATGTCTCAACAAGAGTTGGACACGGTTTCAAAACGGTGTGCTTGAAGTCGCATGATCACGGTTGCGCTCTGATCTGAACAAACGCTTAGCGATGGCTCGCCATAGAGTCTCAGGACTGCTCAGGAGTTGTGACTGGCGGAAACCAGCTATCGTCAGGAAGCTGAGTTACTGCCCTTGATTGAAATCAAAGTCACCCACAAATGGCACATTCAAGAGGTAATTCCCCTGCGATATTTATTTCGCCTCCGTGAATCACACAATTTAAGACTAGAACAACACTCTAAAATGAGACGGTGCTCACCTATGGTTCAGCGAATGGCAGCTTCCCGGAAATCATGTGACTCCACCTGCGTTTAACTCCAGCTGCACAAACCGCGTCCGCGTTCGACGACCAACTAAATCATGCCAGAAGACACCGATTTCTCTTACACAAGCTCAATCTTGGTTGCACGCCACTGAAATTTGAATGCATATAGCTGGAAATTGTAATGTAGAAGATGAGGCCGAAATAATGAAGTAAGCTCACGATCAAGCTCTTTCCCAACCAGTGCCGTTGCTGTGGGGCATAGCATGGAACGTTGCAATGCGTAGCGACAGGGAAACATGCACACGACTTGTCATCGCGATCGTGGAAATGCTTTGATCTGTGTTTGTATTTGTTTGGTATATACAGTGTACGACGGATTACCGACTGAGGGAGGTGACGCCGTCGGTGACGCCCGGCTAAGAAAGGAAGCGTCACCCATCCAGTACACCGTTCACCTGCCGTTTTCGGACGTGCTTTCGGCTGCCGCTCGGTCGCTCGTTTTGGTAAGTCCGTTCTCAACCCTGCCTTGTCGTCGACGTCGACGTCGTTCTCGCCCCTCACACAACAACAACAGGACACCCGCTGGCACCCGCGAGCTCTGCCGAATGAGCAGCGCAGACACTGCACCAATCACTCGACAGCACGGGACCGTGATGGCATAGTGCCCCTTCCTCCAAAACGCCTTTTTTCTCGTGCTAACTACTGTACTCAATCCCCGACATAATTCGTAATTTTATCATACCTACGCGACTCTAATTTCCGTTTCCCGTGTTTCAGACTCGAGCCCACACTGTCAGGTCCCTGCCACACTCAATATCACACATTTTCACGTCAATTCACGGGGCTCGGGAAAGTACAAAAACGAGACTCGCTCGGCGTGCAGTACCACCCGTGCTCAACCTCCTGGTAAGTCTCCATGCTCTTGTCTGCGATGTTTCCCAGGTTGATGTGTTCCCTTCGTCGTTTCAGATCCCTTAACCATGAGTTCCGACGCGAGCCATGCACCTGCAAAGATGCGTCACGATAACCCATCTGACGTCTTCGACGAACGCCCTGCTAAGCGCCCGCGGGTTCAACTGCGAGTTGGCCCAGCTCCGCATCATGCCCCTCCTGTCTCTTCGAGTGAGCACCTTGCCTCCAGGGCAAGGCAGAAGTGCCGCGGTGCTGGCACTGCACCAGGTGCGTGTCTCTTTCGATGTGTGTGTGTTTGCTGGCGGTACTGACAGTTTGCTGCTCATAGGACCAGGTACCGAACCTGTCGCATCATGCCTCGTTGCTGGTGCTCACCCTCCCATCCCTGATGGACTGATCACCATGGATCCTAGCGAGATCTCCGTCAAGGACCCGTCGCCAGCTCCCTGTGCAGCCGCGCTTGTTGAGCCGTCTGCTGCTGCCTCCGATGGCATGCAGCGCTCCCTCGATGCACTGGATGTGACCTCCCACGAAATTCGGCTCCGCCTTGTGGCGGAGGAGCGTGCCGACAAGGGTACCAACGAGGCATATGCACGCCACGTCCGCAATTATATCACCTACTGGGACAGATACCAAGCTGAGATGGTTGCTGATACCCCAGCATGGACCTCTGTCCCCGCGCTGCCTGATCTTGGCAGCCAAGGTGCTCATATTTCTCAACCACGAGCGAACCCGAGAGAAGGTGGGTTCCTGAGCCTGATGGCTCGTTGATCTATGCTGATTGACTCCTCCTTTTTTCATCAGTGGAAACCAGGATCGAGCAACACCATCCCTGGCTCGAATGTCGGGAAGTCCGTTATCCAGCAGGCCATCAGTGCCCTTGAGGACTGGCGGATGAGCCACTACCACCTCTACCTTGGTGTGCCTGAGGCTCAAGTCCGGCTGTGTGACGACAACCGCATCCGGCAAATTGAGTCTGCTGCCAAACATGACGAGCCGAAGCGTGCGGAGAGCTCCCAGGTACTCAAAGCCTCTGGGACCACTGTCAGGTCAGTGTTCCTTTGCTCGTTGTGCCTGTTTTGAGGGTCGCGATTGATGTCTCTGCCCTTGCCCAGATGCATACACCACCGAAGAGCTCACAAAGTGCTCGGCATGGTGCCTGACCAAATTCTCGGGCACTCGTCAGGTGTTTGTCGGTCTCCGTGACCGTGCCATGCTGCTATTTGGTGCCTCGACAGCATTGCGAGGTGAAGGCACCAGAATGTTGCAGCTGTCTGATCTTTTCCTCTCTGAAGTTTGCATAGATGACATTCAGTTGGGGTACACTGTCCCGGTGAGCAATCACACAGTGTTTGTAGTCAGTATTAGATCAGGGCTGATGCCGCTGTGTGGTGTATGTATGTAGGTGCTCGTGGCACTGGCTGACAATGCGAAGAGCAACCAACATGGCCGTCTCGACGAGCATGGCACCCTGCGACATTTTCATGTAGAGCTCTGCCCTGTCGGAGCCCTTGCCATGCTTCTTTTCGCGTGCTTTCACATAGTCTCACAACCTGTCCCTGAATTTGCTCCTGAGTTCTCGAAGGTGGGATATGGTGAATTTGGCCACCGGTCGTGGTACGACCTGTATGTCTTCTGGGGTGAGAGACCTGACAGGCAGATGTCTTATGACAGTGGGTGTTTCTTTCTGTGTGCTCTAGGTACAAAAATCAGGATCATCGAACCTCCCCACAGATCACTACGACCAAGTCAAGCTCATACACAGCAAGAATGATATTAGCCTGACGAAGGCCACGCACGCCACCCGACACTTCACGGCGAAGACTGCACGAGCACATGGGGCATCTGGCAATGATGTGAAAGCCATCGGCTGCTGGAGTGTCAATGATGCCTTTGCCAACTGTTACGACCGTGCCCTCCCGCTCGAAGGGCTGCTTGGTGCGGCCATGTTCAATGCAAGGAAGCCCGAGCAGTACTTCCTAGCTCGGGACCATCTCGGTAAGCTAGTGTCTGCCATCTGACAGCTTGCCCTCACCTGTGATTCGAAACCAGAGCCTCCTGCAGAGCTCCTCTCGCAGATTTTTCCATGGGTCGAGCAGGAGAGTGCTGCCCTGCAGCAGTGAGAGGCAATGCTCGGCCGTGCGGGACGGGATATTGCCTTGAAGGGCTTCCTGCGACTCCTCATGTGGCTCCGTCGGGTCCTTATACAGGATGCTGCTGTCCTATTTGTCAAAGACCCAACATGCCCAATATTTGGGTTTGCACCCTTTCGAGGTGATGTGTTCCATGAATTTGCAGCAAGCTCGACAGCCGTGCTCGCCAGGGTCGACAAGGAGGCCCGGTTGGCACTGCAACACCTCCCAGAGCAGTATGCCCGAAGCATGCAAGGATTCGTCGCATCATCACGCCTTGCACAGGAAGAAGCCAACCGAAAGAATGCAGAAGAGCTTGCACTGCTTCGCGAACAGGTTTCACGACTGGAGATGGCAGCTGAGTCTGGTCGACCTCGTCGTCGTCGTCATGGTGAGTCACAGTCAGCAGTTTTTCACACACAGGGAAAAGAAACTGATAGGTCGAAAGGTGCTCTGCCTGCCACTGTAGTACCTCCAGTGGCACTTGGTCCTGCAGTTCCTCCCCTCAAATCAGCCACAACAGCAGCATCAAGTGTATCTTCAGGCCCACAGATCGCTCCACTTTCACTCTTCCCACCCCCCACTGCTCATCCTGCCCCTCCCGCCATGCCCATCATCATTCCCCCACCAACTTCTGTGGCTACCAGCACTGATGCTGCTACTGCTGCAGACCTCGATGCTCGTCAGCAGCAATGGACCTCTCTGGTGGACTGATTTGGTGCCGAGCGGCTGCTGAAGCATAGCTGGGAGTGGGTATCAGGGGATTATCTTCCCCTGTACACCTTCCAACCTGTCACCCGCATCATGCAAGTTTGGGATGAGTATGTTGCTGGGTTGAATGGATTTCTCGCAGTCCGTGACCTTGACGAGCGCTGGCAGGCACGCTGGAGACATAACATCAGCACTCTGCGAACAGAAAACTGCCGACAGAAAAAAATCACAGTTCTGGTCGAGACACTCGCACGGAAGCCGAACTGGAGTGTCAACCTGGCACTCCGTTTTCTGCGCGAGAAGTACGAGACCCACCCTGACCTTAAAAAGCCTCGCACGTTCTGTGAGTATCTGCAGAAGGGGGGTGGGAGTGGCACCAAGGATGCACTCGCAGCAGCTGCCAATTACCCTTGATTCATTTCTCGCTGACAGTCTTCTTCGCTCACAAGCTCGATCGAGCTCGATCTTCTCTATTTTCATTGGCATAATTTTTTCATACTCTACCTCTGTAATGAGCACATATTGTAGTATCACAGTTTTTCTCGAAAAGATCTATTTGATTCAGCAAAAAAAAAAAGAACTAGGATGGTAAGATGACGAGAATGCTGTGAGAATGCTAGCGGCAAACCTTCAGTTCGAGAACACCACCGGCAAGAGAAGAATTGCACCCACAGACAATAGATGAGAATGCTGACAACTTTCAGTTCGAGAATGCCACAGCGAGGCCTCGGAACGGGAACAGAGGAGGTTGTCTTGGGAGGAGTTGTCTTTTCGAAATGGGGAAGAGAGTCGTCTGCAAAACCGGAAGGTCAGGTCATCTGCAAAATGAGGGACTCACACCTCTCTCTCCCTTTGTGGTATTACTGACCCTCGGTTACAATGCCATAGTAGCATGGATCTATAAAGAAAACTAAGAGGACACAGCTGAACGAGAATGCGCCAAGGAAGAGGAGTAGAGGAAACACGCACGGAAACACACACCAAGGAGCAGCTGGCAGCCTGCAAGATGTCTCGCTCTTGCTCGCAGTGTGTTCTCGTCCTCATCGGTCGGCATGTATTCGGCGGGCAGCGGCAGGCTGGTAATCCTCCCTGCCTATGTACTCCACCGAGACGATGGCGTCACCCAAGCGTTTGTACCGGCTGGTGGCTTCGTGACGCGCAGTTACCTTTCGAGCGGCGTCACCCGTCACCTCGGTGGCGCACCGAAACCCGGATACATAGGTGGTATGCTGCACGCGTTGACCTCGAGGAGAAGGGCACGCTACAGATTATAATTTACTAGCTTTCAGATATCTTCTCTACCATCCTTCCTTTGTTTTCTGATTTCATTATCTTCAAGTATCGAGCAGAGCAGACGGTCAGAACGATAAACAATGGTCTTTGGTCTATTCGCTCGCAAGCTCGATCCTTCATCCAATACCCAACTACATACGAGTTACTTTTTCTGGAGACTTGAATGTGACTGGTTCTGGATCTGGGCATGTCCATTTGAAATTTGAATCCTCATTGCGGTGTCCTCTGATCCCTCTTCAACTACTTAACAGGATGGAGATATGACCTTCAGTCAAACAGCATCTAGTTGTTGGTCTGTGGGGTTCCAAGTTCTCTTCTAACTCCCGTCGGATTGCTCCCACCGTACTCGTCCATACATCCCTATCCACATCTTTATCGCTTTTGGTCCACTGTTCAAAGACGGACCAAGGCTATCATGGGAAACTGCCTGTCAAAGGCGCGAACGCGTTCCAGTACGGCCAATTTGGTGACTTGTCTGCATGATCGTGCAAAGGAGAACAAATTATCTCTTGTTGGGCCACACCAGTAACTATGGATCAGCGCTGTCACCATATTCTACCTCTGCCGCATTAGCAATGCCCTTGCCCCCTCACAATGATGCCAAGGTATTTATTCCCTCCGAAGTCTCACTCGACATTTACGATCCCACGACCAGCTCCATTTCCGACGCGAGCGGAGTATCTCCGCCAGCCTCTGCGTGCAGAATCGTTGCAAGATGCGCTTCAGACGCTTCGCAATTATGACACGACTCATCATGGATGATTCTTCATCTATGACTGGTTCGCTGTGGAATGAGGTATGATGTTTGTCGTATTCCTTGTCCATGGGCTGAAATCCCCCTCCTGTTCAGGCGGAACAGGCTCTCGCCACGCTCGTCGATGTAGCGAGCCAATATAACGCCAGTGCCGCTGGCATAGACATACAATTCTTGAACTGCAACGCAACCATGACGGGAGTTACGGTAGGTAGCATACTTGCACGTCAAATCGATCCTGATGACCCTTCTATAGGACTCCAGAGTTGTCCACGAGCAGTTCGCAAATTCCAGCCCTGTGGCCCAACCACTGTTGGGAATCGCCTCAGTATGATCCTCGGCGATTATTTCCGTGACCTGTATGCTGCTAAGGGACGGGAGGATGGATGCAAGAACATCAAGCCCTTGAATGTGCTCATCATTACTGATGGCGCGTCATGTGAGTCTGCGCGACACCTAATGGCCGAATTCTCTGACCTATTCGCGTAGCGGATGATGTAGAGAGTGTGATCGTCTATTTTGCCAGGCGGCTTGAGGCCGACAAGTGGCCACTTGGACAGGTGACTACGCGTCGCTTCTTTATTGCACTTGGTGCCGACAAAGCTATAGGTCGGGATACAGTTCGTTCAGATAGGGAATTCGAGGCATGCAGCACAGTTCCTTAGAAACTGGATGATTTGAAGCAGGCACATATACGGGTATGCCATAACCTTACCTCACGTATCATCATCATTCACTAAAAGCACCGTCAGGACATCGTCGACACAACGCCCTATATCGGCCACTGAGTGCTGACATGCTGATCAAGGTCCTCGTCGGTGGTAAATCGCCGCGTGGACACGAAGGGTGGTGATTCGGTTATGTTTTAAGTTGCGAGACACTGGATACAACACTTGTATCATATCTGGAGCTAAGGATTTGTCGTCAGCTCAGTACCCAACGAATCTTCCTGTAGCAAATATACCTATGCATGTACGTAGCCTTAGTATTTACCAGTACTGAATCATGAGTCTCAGTCTCCCAATGCGAATGCGAGAGCCCCAAAATCAGGTGCAGCCTTAGATCCCTCTCGCCTAGGTCTCGCTCCCCCGGCAACGAAACGCACAACCCATCCAGTTCCGACATCCAGATTTGACCGGGGAGATCGCCTTTGTATCAAGCCCTCCCTCCAGGTGAGATTCAGGGGACTGAGATGTAAGAATATTAATGAGCAGTCATATCAAGGTGAACGTTGAGGGCCGAGCGTTGACGTGCGGACCAGAATCGGGTCAGCAGCGACTGCGACGGAGTCCGCGTAAGTACTTCTGAGCTATAACATCCAGAACATATCTGAAATTACTGGATAGTGAATAATGCAATTCGAGACAGTAGGTTCTGTTGCGCACCCTATATTCGGCCCTCGACATAACTCGATGGGGATGAGGTGAGTACAGGGTATCCGATGTCCTGGCAAGTACTGATGGAGCACAGCGTCAGCAGCCATCGTGTTAGAATGCCTTTTTTTGAGATCATGTCTCAACAAGAGTTGGACACGGGTTCAAAAACGGTGTGCTTGAAGTCGCATGATCACGGGTTGCGCTCTGATCTGAACAAACGCTTAGCGATGGGCTCGCCATAGAGTCTCAGGACTGCTCAGGAGTTGTGACTTGGCGGAAACCAGCTATCGTCAGGAAGTTTGAGTTACTGACCTTTATTGAAATTAAAGTCACCCACAAATGGCACATTCAAGAGGTATTCCCCTGCGATATTTATTTCGCCTCCGTGAATCACACAATTTAAGACTAGAACAACACTCCAAAATGAGACGGTGCTCACCTGTGGTTCAGCGAATGGCAGCTTCCCGGAAATCATGTGACTCCACCTGCGTTTAACTCCAGCTGCTGCACAAACCGCGTCCGCGTTCGACGACCAACTAAATCATGCCAGAAGACACCGATTCCTCTTACACAAGCTCAATCTTGGTTGCACGCCACTGAAATTTGAATGCATATAGCTGGAAATTGTAATGTAGAAGATGAGGCCGAAATAATGAAGTAAGCTCACGATCAAGCTCTTTCCCAACCAGTGCCGTTGCTGTGGGGCATAGCATGGAACGTTGCAATGCGTAGCGACAGGGAAACATGCACACGACTTGTCATCGCGATCGTGGAAATGCTTTGATCTGTGTTTGTATTTGTTTGGTATATACAGTGTACGACGGATTACCGACTGAGGGAGGTGACGCCGTCGGTGACGCCCGGCTAAGAAAGGAAGCGTCACCCATCCAGTACACCGTTCACCTGCCGTTTTCGGACGTGCTTTCGGCTGCCGCTCGGTCGCTCGTTTTGGTAAGTCCGTTCTCAACCCTGCCTTGTCGTCGACGTCGACGTCGTTCTCGCCCCTCACACAACAACAACAGGACACCCGCTGGCACCCGCGAGCCCTGCCGAATGAGCAGCGCAGACACTGCACCAATCACTCGACAGCACGGGACCGTGATGGCATAGTGCCCCTTCCTCCAAAACGCCTTTTTTCTCGTGCTAACTACTGTACTCAATCCCCGACATAATTCGTAATTTTATCATACCTACGCGACTCTAATTTCCGTTTCCCGTTTTCAGACTCGAGCCCACACTGTCAGGTCCCGCCACACTCAATATCACACATTTTCACGTCAATTCACGGGGCTCGGGAAAGTACAAAAACGAGACTCGCTCGGCGTGCAGTACCACCCGTGCTCAACCTCCTGGTAAGTCTCCATGCTCTTGTCTGCGATGTTTCCCAGGTTGATGTGTTCCCTTCGTCGTTTCAGATCCCTTAACCATGAGTTCCGACGCGAGCCACGCACCTGCAAAGATGCGTCACGATAACCCATCTGACGTCTTCGACAACGCCCTGCTAAGCGCCCGCGGGTTCAACTGCGAGTTGGCCCAGCTCCGCATCATGCCCCTCCTGTCTCTTCGAGTGAGCACCTTGCCTCCAGGGCAAGGCAGAAGTGCCGCGGTGCTGGCACTGCACCAGGTGCGTGTCTCTTTCGATGTGTGTGTGTTTGCTGGCGGTACTGACAGTTTGCTGCTCATAGGACCAGGTACCGAACCTGTCGCATCATGCCTCGTTGCTGGTGCTCACCCTCCCATCCCTGATGGACTGATCACCATGGATCCTAGCGAGATCTCCGTCAAGGACCCGTCGCCAGCTCCCTGTGCAGCCGCGCTTGTTGAGCCGTCTGCTGCTGCCTCCGATGGCATGCAGCGCTCCCTCGATGCACTGGATGTGACCTCCCACGAAATTCGGCTCCGCCTTGTGGCGGAGGAGCGTGCCGACAAGGGTACCAACGAGGCATATGCACGCCACGTCCGCAATTATATCACCTACTGGGACAGATACCAAGCTGAGATGGTTGCTGATACCCCAGCATGGACCTCTGTCCCCGCGCTGCTGATCTTGGCAGCCAAGGTGCTCATATTTCTCAACCACGAGCGAACCCGAGAGAAGGTGGGTTCCTGAGCCTGATGGCTCGTTGATCTATGCTGATTGACTCCTCCTTTTTTCATCAGCGGAAACCAGGATCGAGCAACACCATCCCTGGCTCGAATGTCGGGAAGTCCTTATCCAGCAGGCCATCAGTGCCCTTGAGGACTGGCGGATGAGCCACCACCACCTCTACCTTGGTGTGCCTGAGGCTCAAGTCCGGCTGTGTGACGACAACCGCATCCGGCAAATTGAGTCTGCTGCCAAACATGACGAGCCGAAGCGTGCGGAGAGCTCCCAGCTCAAAGCCTCTGGGACCACGTCAGGTCAGTGTTCCTTTGCTCGTTGTGCCTGTTTTGAGGGTCGCATTGATGTCTCTGCCCTTGCCCAGATGCATACACCACCGAAGAGCTCACAAAGTGCTCGGCATGGTGCCTGACCAAATTCTCGGGCACTCGTCAGGTGTTTGTCGGTCTCCGTGACCGTGCCATGCTGCTATTTGGTGCCTCGACAGCATTGCGAGGTGAAGGCACCAGAATGTTGCAGCTGTCCGATCTTTTCCTCTCTGAAGTTTGCATAGATGACATTCAGTTGGGGTACACTGTCCCGGTGAGCAATCACACAGTGTTTGTAGTCAGTATTAGATCAGGGCTGATGCCGCTGTGTGGTGTATGTATGTAGGTGCTCGTGGCACTGGCTGACAATGCGAAGAGCAACCAACATGGCCGTCTCGACGAGCATGGCACCCTGCGACATTTTCATGTAGAGCTCTGCCCTGTCGGAGCCCTTGCCATGCTTCTTTTCGCGTGCTTTCACATAGTCTCACAACCTGTCCCTGAATTTGCTCCTGAGTTCTCGAAGGTGGGATATGGTGAATTTGGCCACCGGTCGTGGTACGACCTGTATGTCTTCTGGGGTGAGAGACCTGACAGGCAGATGTCTTATGACAGTGGGTGTTTCTTTCTGCGTGCTCTAGGTACAAAAATCGGGATCATCGAACCTCCCCACAGATCACTACGACCGAGTCAAGCTCATACACAGCAAGAATGATATTAGCCTGACGAAGGCCACGCACGCCACCCGACACTTCACGGCGAAGACTGCACGAGCACATGGGGCATCTGGCAATGATGTGAAAGCCATCGGCTGCTGGAGTGTCAATGATGCCTTTGCCAACTGTTACGACCGTGCCCTCCCGCTCGAAGGCTGCTTGGTGCGGCCATGTTCAATGCAAGGAAGCCCGAGCAGTACTTCCTAGCTCGGGACCATCTCGGTAAGCTAGTGTCTGCACATCTGACAGCTTGCCCTCACCTGTGATTCGAAACCAGAGCCTCCTGCGAGCTCCTCTCGCAGATTTTTCCATGGGTCGAGCAGGAGAGTGCTGCCCTGCAGCAGCGAGAGGCAATGCTCGGCCGTGCGGGACGGGATATTGCCTTGAAGGGCTTCCTGCGACTCCTCATGTGGCTCCGTCGGGTCCTTATACAGGATGCTGCTGTCCTATTTGTCAAAGACCCAACATGCCCAATATTTGGGTTTGCACCCTTTCGAGGTGATGTGTTCCATGAATTTGCAGCAAGCTCGACAGCCGTGCTCACCAGGGTCGACAAGGAGGCCCGGTTGGCACTGCAACACCTCCCAGAGCAGTATGCCCGAAGCATGCAAGGATTCGTCGCATCATCACGCCTTGCACAGGAAGAAGCCAACCGAAAGAATGCAGAAGAGCTTGCACTGCTTCGCGAACAGGTTTCACGACTGGAGATGGCAGCTGAGTCTGGTCGACCTCGTCGTCGTCGTCATGGTGAGTCACAGTCAGCAGTTTTTCACACACAGGGAAAAGAAACTGATAGGTCGAAAGGTGCTCTGCCTGCCACTGTAGTACCTCCAGTGGCACTTGGTCCTGCAGTTCCTCCCCTCAAATCAGCCACAACAGCAGCATCAAGTGTATCTTCAGGCCCACAGATCGCTCCACTTTCACTCTTCCCACCCCCCACTGCTCATCCTGCCCCCTACCGCCATGCCCATCATCATTACCCCCACCAACTTCTGTGGCTACCAGCACTGATGCTGCTTACTGCTGCAGACCTCGATGCTCGTCAGCAGCAATGGACCTCTCTGGTGGACTGATTTGGTGCCGAGCGGCTGCTGAAGCATAGCTGGGAGTGGGTATCAGGGGATTATCTTCCCCTGTACACCTTCCAACCTGTCACCCGCATCCTGCAAGTTTGGGATGAGTATGTTGCTGGGTTGAATGGATTTCTCGCAGTCCGTGACCTTGACGAGCGCTGGCAGGCACGCTGGAGACCATAACATCAGCACTCTGCGAACAGAAAACTGCCGACAGAAAAAATCACAGTTCTGGTCGAGACACTCGCACGGAAGCCGAACTGGAGTGTCAACCTGGCACTCCGTTTTCTGCGCGAGAAGTACGAGACCCACCCTGACCTTAAAAAGCCTCGCACGTTCTGTGAGTATCTGCAGAAGGGGGGTGGGAGTGGCACCAAGGATGCACTCGCAGCAGCTGCCAATTACCCCTTGATTCATTTCTCGCTGACAGTTCTTCTTCGCTCACAAGCTCGATCGAGCTCGATCTTCTCTATTTCATTGGCATAATTTTTCATACTCTACCTCTGTAATGAGCACATATTGTAGTATCACAGTTTTTCTCGAAAAGATCTATTTGATTCAGCAAAAAAAAAAGAACTAGGATGGTAAGATGACGAGAATGCTGTGAGAATGCTAGCGGCAACCTTCAGTTCGAGAACACCACCGGCAAGAGAAGAATTGCACCCACAGACAATAGATGAGAATGCTGACAACTTTCAGTTCGAGAATGCCACAGCGAGGCCTCGGAACGGGAACAGAGGAGGTTGTCTTGGGAGGAGTTGTCTTTTCGAAATGGGGAAGAGAGTCGTCTGCAAAACCGGAAGGTCAGGTCATCTGCAAAATGAGGGACTCACACCTCTCTCTCCCTTTGTGGTATTACTGACCCTCGGTTACAAGGCCATAGTAGCATGGATCTATAAAGAAAACTAAGAGGACACAGCTGAACGAGAATGCGCCAAGGAAGAGGAGTAGAGGAAACACGCACGGAAACACACACCAAGGAGCAGCTGGCAGCCTGCAAGATGTCTCGCTCTTGCTCGCAGTGTGTTCTCGTCCTCATCGGTCGGCATGTATTCGGCGGGCAGCGGCAGGCTGGTAATCCTCCCTGCCTATGTACTCCACCGAGACGATGGCGTCACCCAAGCGTGTACCGGCGGGTGGCTTCGTGACGCGCAGTTACCTTTTCGAGCGGCGTCACCCGTCACCTCGGTGGCGCACCGAAACCCGGATACATAGGTGGTATGCTGCACGCGTTGACCTCGAGGAGAAGGGCACGCTACAGATTATAATTTACTAGCTTTCAGATATCTTCTCTACCATCCTTCCTTTGTTTTCTGATTTCATTATCTTCAAGTATCGAGCAGAGCAGACGGTCAGAACGATAAACAATGGTCTTTGGTCTATTCGCTCGCAAGCTCGATCCTTCATCCAATACCCAACTACATACGAGTTACTTTTTCTGGGAGACTTGAATGTGACTGGTTCTGGATCTGGCATGTCCATTTGAAATTTGAATCCTCATTGCGGTGTCCTCTGATCCCTCTTCAACTACTTAACAGGATGGAGAATATGACCTTCAGTCAAACAGCATCTAAGTTGTTGGTCTGTGGGGTTCCAAGTTCTCTTCTAACTCCCGTCGGATTGCTCCACCGTACTCGTCCATACATCCCTATCCACATCTTTATCGCTTTTGTCCACTGTTCAAAGACGGACCAAGGCTATCATGGGAAACTGCCTGTCAAAGGCGCGAACGCGTTCCAGTAAGGGCCAATTTGGTGACTTGTCTGATGATCGTGCAAAGGAGAACAAATTATCTCTTGTTGGGCACACCAGTAACTATGGATCAGCGCTGTCACCATATTCTACCTCTGCCGCATTAGCAATGCCCTTGCCCCCTCACAATGATGCCAAAGGTATTTATTCCCCTCCGAAGTCTCACTCGACATTTACGATCCCACGACCAGCTCCATTTCCGACGCGAGCGGAGTATCTCCGCCAGCCTCTGCGTGCAGAATCGTTGCAAGATGCGCTTCAGACGCTTCGCAATTATGACACGACTGTCATCATGGATGATTCTTCATCTATGACTGGTTCGCTGTGGAATGAGGTATGATGTTTGTCGTATTCCTTGTCCATTAGGGCTGAAATCCCCCTCCTGTTCAGGCGGAACAGGCTCTCGCCACGCTCGTCGATGTAGCGAGCCAATATAACGCCAGTGCCGCTGGCATAGACATACAATTCTTGAACTGCAACGCAAGCATGAAGGGAGTTACGGTAGGTAGCATACTTGTACGTCAAAAATCGATCCTGATGACCCTTTTATAGGACTCCAGAGTTGTCCACGAGCAGTTCGCAAAATTCCAGCCCTGTGGCCCAACCACTGTTGGGAATCGCCTCAGTATGATCCTCGGCGATTATTTCCGTGACCTGTATGCTGCTAAGGGACGGGAGGATGGATGCAAGAACATCAAGCCCTTGAATGTGCTCATCATTACTGATGGCGCGTCATGTGAGTCTGCGCGACACCTAATGGCCGAATTCTCTGACCTATTCGCGTAGCGGATGATGTAGAGAGTGTGATCGTCTATTTTGCCAGGCGGCTTGAGGCCGACAAGTGGCCACTTGGACAGGTGACTACGCGTCGCTTCTTTATTGCACTTGGTGCCGACAAAGCTATAGGTCGGGATACAGTTCGTTCAGATAGGGAATTCGAGGCATGCAGCACAGTTCCTTAGAAACCTGGATGATTTGAAGCAGGCACATATACGGGTATGCCATAACCTTACCTCACGTATCATTATCATTCACTAAAAGCACCGTCAGGACATCGTCGACACAACGCCCTATATCGGCCCACTGAGTGCTGACATGCTGATCAAGGTCCTCGTCGGTGGTATAAATCGCCGCGTGGACACGAAGGGTGGTGATTCGGTTATGTTTTAAGTTGCGAGACACTGGATACAACACTTGTATCATATCTGGAGCTAAGGATTTGTCGTCAGCTCAGTACCCAACGAATCTTCCTGTAGCAAATATACCTATGCATGTACGTAGCCTTAGTACTTTACCAGTACTGAATCATGAGTCTCAGTCTCCCAATGCGAATGCGAGAGCCCCAAAATCAGGTGCAGCCTTAGATATCCCTCTCGCCTAGGTCTCGCTCCCCTGGCAAACGAAACGCACAACACCATCCAGTTCCGACATCCAGATTTGACCGGGGAGATCGCCTTTGTATCAAGCCTCCCTCCAGGTGAGATTCAGGGACTGAGATGTAAGAATATTAATGACAGTCATATCAAGGTGAACGTTGAGGGCCGAGCGTTGACGTGCGGACCAGAATCGGGTCAGCAGCGACTGCGACGGAGTCCGCGTAAGTACTTCTGAGCTATAACCTCCAGAACATATCTGAAATTACTGGATAGTGAATAATGCATTCGAGACAGTAGGTTCTGTTGCGCACCCTATATTCGGCCCTCGACATAACTCGATGGGATGAGGTGAGTACAGGGTATCCGATGTCCTGGCAAGTACTGATGGAGCACAGCGTCACAGCCATCGTGTTAGAATGCCTTTTTTTTGAGATTCATGTCTCAACAAGAGTTGGACACGGTTTCAAAACGGTGTGCTTGAAGTCGCATGATCACGGTTGCGCTCTGATCTGAACAAACGCTTAGCGATGGCTCGCCATAGAGTCTCAGGACTGCTCAGGAGTTGTGACTGGCGGAAACCAGCTATCGTCAGGAAGTTTGAGTTACTGACCTTTATTGAAATTAAAGTCACCCACAAATGGCACATTCAAGAGGTAATTCCCCTGCGATATTTATTTCGCCTCCGTGAATCACACAATTTAAGACTAGAACAACACTCCAAAATGAGACGGTGCTCACCTGTGGTTCAGCGAATGGCAGCTTCCCGGAAATCATATGTGACTCCACCTGCGTTTAACTCCAGCTGCACAAACCGCGTCCGCGTTCGACGACCAACTAAATCATGCCAGAAGACACCGATTTCTCTTACACAAGCTCAATCTTGGTTGCATGCTACTGAAATTTGAATGCATATAGCTGGAAATTGTAATTTAGAAGATGAGGCCGAAATAATGAAGTAAGCTCACCATCAAGCTCTTTCCCAGGTTGCTGTGGGGCATAGCATGGAACGTTGCAATGCGCAGTGACAGGGTTGGCAGAGAAACACGACTCGCCATCGTGGAAATGCTTTGATCTGTGTTTGTATTTGTTTGGTATATAGGTGGTATGCTGCACGCGTTGACCTCGAGGAGAAGGGCACGCTACAGATTATAATTTACTAGCTTCCAGATATCTTTTGTACCGTCCTTCCTTTGTTTCCTGATTTCATTATCTTCGAGTATCGAGCAGAGCAGACGGTCAGAACGATAAACGATGGTCTTTGGTCTATTCGCTCGCAAGCTCGATCCTTCATCCAATACCCAACTACATACGAGTACACCCTCAACATCTCCCTCAATTTCTCACACAAAACCCCCTTCTTCCTCTCCCCAGCCGAATTCTCACTCCCCCGAACCCGAGCCCGAGTCTCAGCCTGAGGTAATAGACCCAACAGCCCTCTATGACCTCATACGTTCCGTCCCTCCTCAAACATTCCACCACCACCACCGCCCTCCCCACACACACTCACCATCGTCTCCCGTTTCTCCTGCGACCAATCCCCGTCACCCCAACTCCATTGCGTGCGCTGCCACGTATCCTTCGATCTTTCAAACATGGACACATCTTGCCGCATCAATGATCAGGGCGCACTTGTTGATCACTTGGCGTATCAGACGGTGTGGAGCTGCTGTGAGGGAAGTGTTGGGGTAATGCTATAAGGGAAGACATACAGTGAGTATCTATCTCGTACTTCATATTTCAAACGCTGATGACAGATACAGATAGACATCTAACGTGTGCGCTTCCTCCAGATTCGTCCATCCATGACGATCACAGTCCCATGCGCTTCAGTAGGGTGTCACAGCCGGAAATGCAAGCACAGCGTATCCGTCTCCGCCAGTATAATCACAAGGAAGAAGGAAAATGCGAAAGCAGTCGACAATCCCTCACCCAGGTCAGCTACTAGTGCTACCCGCTTCTAAGGCATCCGACTCGCCCAAGCCCACCGCAAAATCCATGTCTAGACCTCCACATCTTCACTTTCAGTGACACTCACCCAACCACACAACAGACCCCAACCTAAATCCAACCTCCACCAATCTGACGTCGCTTCTCCCACCATAGACGGCGGTTCCGAGAAGGAGAAGGAGAAAGGGACGAGGGAGAAGGATGGGGATGGGGGTGAGAGGGGGCGAGGAAGGGCGAAGAAGGCGAAAAAGAGTCGTGTGGGTTGAGTCTACCCTGTTTGAATCACATAGTATTATTCCGGTGTGTCTGACTCCCAATAACCCTCCTTGGGCACGCTATCCTTTATCGCCCTCTTTCCCCACAACTCCATTGCATGTGCTGCCACACCTCCTTCACCTCCCTCTGATAATAACAGCACCATTGTTGATCTTACGGTTCATGAGATGCTGTTGGACTGCTGCATGGGAAGCATCGAGGAGAAAGCGTATATAGCTCCTACCAGTGGTGAGGATTTGTCTCGTTCTCTAGATTTCGAACCTAATTCCAAGTACAGATATCAACCTAACAAACTTCTGCGCAGCTTCGACTATCAACGATGACAAGCTCATTGCACATAATAAAGTGGCGTATTCATCGCAGGCGCTGGCGAGTTGGTCTGGAGCGTCGTGTGGTAGACATACAGTGCAGCAGTTCAACTCGTCAGTGTCAGAAAGACTGGCGTACACGACCGCTCGGATAGGTATGACCACTAGCTTTTTAAATATGGCGTGCGTACTAACTAAAAACTGCATCCTATTATCCTCAGAGTTACGAGTATTTTTATTTCATTCTGCGCTACATATCTAAGGCGACAGACGCCCGTCCTCACACCTCAGTCTCGTTAACCGTTGACTGAGGCTCGTGCACTAACTCTTACCTTTGATACTCTGCTACTTCTCCGGCTATCAACCCAGTTGCTCGTTCATTCAGGTCATGCATTGCCTATTACTGATGTTCCTCTTGCGCAGGGGTAAAGAGGTACGCTCGGTTTATTTTCCCCACTTTTTCCAATCTTATCCATTCGATTGTAGTGCAACGCTGCAGCGGATGTGAAAACTATGTTTCTACTCCTTCACCGAAACCTCACAACAACGATCCGCAGGAGGCGGACAGCATGGAAGTGGCCGGTTGTGCGGCTGCTTCTAAGCGGTCTTGATGATCTTCGGGTAAGTATTTTAGCCAGTGTTAGCACGCCTTACTTCACTCTTTGTTACGCGTGTTATGCTTATTCACATTCCGTGCTCCGCTTCGACAGCTCTCTTTTCACTTTGCTATTAGTCCTCTGGAACGGTTTCCCCTCAGTACATTAAGGTGAGCTTATGTGCTCCCAAATGGACAGACGTCGAATCTCACGATTGTGGGGAACACTTCCCAGCATATCGTCGATTCCGCAGCCAACAGCACCAGGCTCTGTGCGTATTCTTTTCTTACGTTCTTTAACTGCGCATCTCGTACTCTCTCCTTCAAACTACCCGCTCCACGGAAATTACGACACTTATCACGCATACCTTAGTGATCGTATGCGACTCATTGCGACCGCCCTCTCCGCGTCCATACTATTTGATGCCAAGAATTTCCTCACAACTATGAATACGGAACTGTGTGCTGTCAACCTTTGGAAGTGAGACATTGTGGAAACCACGCCGCTTCATCCAGAACCACTCGGTTCGTTGTATGCCAATGCCTGTATCGTATTTTGGACGACAGTCAGTCTTGCGGCAATCAATTGGCTCATCATTGGTATTGCTCGGATCATATCTTCTTGGGGTCGTGAACTTAGCAGATCGGGTTCGGGCATGTGGCACCAGTTTGAGAGTATTGGATTCATTCTTGCCAGTGTCACCAGTAGTGACGCCCCCTGCGTTGATGAGATTTCATAAGCATTTTCACCTGTTCGTATCTTTCCAGTACTTATTGTCCATCGGGCTCCCGGTATCACCCCTCACACGCAGTGGCGTGCAGTCATAGGTATGTGTCCAGTGGCCTACCTTCATTTGTAAATAGCAAACATGATGGTCCACCGCATGTATGTACTCATATATTTCAGATCCCCTACTTTTGCAAACCGCCTGGGCGTCGATGACTTACAGTAGGTTTAGATTATGAACATTCAGAACAATTGTCTAACACATTGCAGATATCACGTTGGACGGGGTCTCGCGCACTGGAGCCCGCAGAATGTCCTACCATATAACCCACCATCAGATCTTGCCGATCAGTCCGGGGATCTCTCTTCCGTTATCTACATTAGCCCGTGGATCCCGAATATGATTTTCGACACAAATGGAGATCGGATCAGATCATAAAGCGGCTTTGGCCACAACTACACATTCCTTAAGAGACGTTGCTTCCGACCGCAAGTCAGCTCTTTTCATTCCAGCGTGCTCATAGGAAACCTTGTGGGCGTTCTATTTCCCGTCACAATATTCAACAGGATGCTCGGCGTCTTCAACCTTTAGCATTTGGCCTTCTTCGTTGCAGTTTCGCTTTGGGTGCCAGCGGAGAACAATAGTTTCAAACATTGCATGGAGACCACCTTTATACCAACGCCATCGTCTAGCATACGCTCATCCAATCTTCTCCCACTTAACAGACGGACTTACGCATTCTTGTAGATGTGCGCAAGGAGACAGCCTCGCACTGCTTATATCAACAAAGCCCGTACTGACGACAGTGCTCGTTCACATCGCTGTCAACTTCATCTTCTCGAAAAAGACGATGGACACTTCCTTGTACTTGGCACTTCGCACATACGGCATGCCTGCCTTTGTCTCGATATCTCTTTGCTATGGTTCATCCTCAACAAGTCGCGGGTACAGGCAGTGGTTCCTGCACTGCAAACACTCTTCAACTTGCCAAGTTAAATGAGGATGACGCACGGCGTGCTTCTTGAATTGTTTGAATTTTCGTTCATTCAATTCAAACAACAGGTACTCGTGGCTGCTTCCATAGGGTATAACGACACCTTGTCATATGATGACGCCGCCTTGTGGGACGTATCATCCAAGTCTGTGCGCACTCTATTCATGCTCTTCTCTAACCTGGATTTCACACAATTGATTGACTTCTCCCTGCGTTTATGGTACAGTTCAAGAACCAATATTCACCCGGTGCCAGTCATTCTTTGATATTCGCTCAACCTCTCAACGCGCTCGTGAAGGCGGGAATCGGAACCATTGAACTCTCATCGTTGAGCGAGACGTTCTGGAAGACGTTTTAACCAAAGCTGCGAAGTCCGACTAGCAATCGCAGATCGCCATGATTTCAAGATCGTTATATGATGTCCGGAGGGGCACATCGACACCTCGTCTGCAGTGTCCCGCATGAACTCGGTTTGTTAAATGCGATTGACATAGTGAGCACTTATGCCACGTGGAGGGGACTGGCCTGTGGGCATAATACAAATGCTTGAAGCTGCACAGCACGCGGAATGCGAAACAACCGCAGCGAGCGTCTGTAGGTCGGCTGCTCTCGGGTGTGACAGGAGGGGCTAACGTGGACCCAATAGGATGGGTTCTAGTAAATCCTGTATCGTAAAAATAAACGAAGATGATACCGACAAGTCGCCGTGCAATATCAGATTGATAAAGCGATTTGAAATGTTCAGTCACATGGAATTTACCGACGCGGGATGCTCAGTGAACTATGTACATAACGGTGTCAGCAAAGTGAGGCCGAGGTGCATTTAGGTGCTTTTAGCTCTACCTATCGTGGGATATATCCTTCTCATTTCTCCACCAATTCATTGATGACATCTCCCCGTGGACGAACATGGCTGCTCCCAGTCTTTCAGGCGGTGGTTGTTGGACTGGACGGTGAACACTGAGGCAAAAGTAAAAGTAAACGCCTGATGCTTGCAGTCGATAAACGAGGGTGAGCAATGTGAGAGTTATCGTTCAAATGACGCACGACAATAGTGCAGTACGCTTGTGGAACGGAGAAAGAGCCATACGGCAGAGTGTATTGGCAGGGACAACTTGAACAGCGCTGAATCACAGCATAATATTTGCCAGTCACGAGTGTGATAGTCATTACTGTGGGAACCTTGACAAAGTACCAATCCAGCTCGCACTGCAGTTTCATTTGCAACGTCTTGCTGTAGCTACATAGCCTACTAGATAAATCACAACGAATACTCGGCACAGGTCTCCGCTTTGAGCGCTCTTGTATAAAATGTCGTTTGGATCGGGTCCTCGCATTTCCTTGCCCACCTTGATACCACTGCTAAACGCATCTTCGAGTCTGCATCGTATTGCCACCAGCCTGAGGTAAAGTTTCTACTATGTCCAACAGATACTCAGGATGCGTTCGATTGATGATGAACCTGGATGAACAGATCAGAACGAATTGTATTGGCATTGTACCGCTATCAGCAACTTTGCTACTCGCCTGAGGTATGTACAAGTGTGGCCGTAAGTAAGATGCTGAAGTTCACCTAATAATTTGTAGCCGATCGCGTCTATAGAGACGTTTTGCAGCGCTACCTGATCGTAACATTCATTGACGCCCACGCGAGGTGAGAGGCATTGTACGCTACATGTTTTGTCCCACAAATTCATTAAGGTTTGTGATAGTTTAACAGTCATGGATCGATCCACAAAAGACCGCCTAGATGAATTCGATCAGTATGTGATGAACCACATCCCGATCCGCCTTATACGCCTATCAGACATGACGCTTGTTAGTCGTGAGGATGTGAGGGAGCACTTCAGGGCGCGTTTTCTTCAGTCTTATCATCCACCATCGAAAACTGTCAAGTACGCCACTCTGTCTCATCGATGGGGCAAAGGAGAGCCCAGCTATGATACATTTGAAGAGATGAAGAAGTCCGAGCTTAAAACTCCAGGATTTGAAAAGCTGATGAACTTCTGCGAAAAGGCTAGGGAGTACGATGTGGAATTTGCGTGGTCGGACACTTGCTGCATCGACAAGAGCAGCAGTGCCGAGCTCGACGAGTCGATTCGCTCCATGTTCCAGTGGTATCGCAAGTCGGAGATCTGCATCGCCCATCTGGCACAAAGCAAGACAATGGACGACATACCGCGCGACGAATGGACGGAGAGAGGTTGGACCTTGCAAGAACTCCTTGCACCCATCCGTATCAAATTCTTCAACCAGCACTGGATACCCATGGCGCGTAATCCGAATGACAAACATCCTGACACGGAGCGCTCCGGGTGCATCATGTTGAGCACTCTGGAAAGCGCCACTGGAATTCCTCGTCGTGACATCTGCGACTTCGCTCCAGCTGCATTTTGGGTGAATGAGCGGATGCAGTGGGCAGCCAGACGCAAAACAACAAGGGTCGAGGATATGGCCTACTCCCTGATGGGAATATTTAATGTCAGCCTGCAGATCGCGTATGGAGAAGGAGAGCGCGCTTTCGGCAGGCTCATTGAAGCCGTCATGCAGGATGGCGACCCTTCTGTCCTGAACTGGACGGGCCAGGCTGCAAATTATCACAATTCGCGTGCTGTTCCTCGATCACCGCAGTGCTTCGTGGGCGGTCGAGGGTTGGATCTTGGATCTGGGAGACTGGATATGACTATGACCAGTCTTGGACTGCGAGTCCCTCTAGTAATACTCCCTCTCGATCGCCGTTCGACAAGGGACAATGACAATAAAATGCACGTGACATTGGAATGCTCGCTGTGTCCAGCCATCAAGATTGATAGCGCTAGCGCCAACGAGATCTTCAGCGGCCCTGGAACACCGTACGCAATCGGGATTGTCAACTATTCCGTCATCAGTGATGGAACACGCGAATTCCTAATGATCAGGGGCAAGTCGGCTGGCTTCCTCCTGTTCAAACCTTCACCCGAACGCGCTTCAGAAGCTTCAAGACCGGTTAACTGTGTTGGGCTTCAGTTTGTGCCTTCCCCGGAGCAGGTGGTGTTTTCATGGAAGGCGCTAAATGGAGGCTTGGCCGAGGTTCACTTCCCGAATATCTTGAGTGACGACATTTTTTACATTAGTCGTGAGTACCTAGAGATTGTCTACCTGTAGCAGTTCCTCTACGATAGCGAACATCGCCAGGACTAAGTAGTTGTAAGTAGTGTTGCTAACAGTTGTCTGCTTGGGATATGCTTTACTGTACAGTGTAGATGACCATCATCACCTTGGAGACTGCATGTGAGTTGTGTTCCCCTCGAGCAGAGCGTGATAGACCATGATCTAAATAGGCTTGTCGCCAGCACCCTCCTCGCTTAAGCTTAAAAGCTTCATTACGAATTACTCACATGGCCCAGCATATATGGACCTTCGCCCTGCTGACCATTTAGCGTCCAGAATGACCCTCCCTTACCCTCTCTCCGCCAGCGGTAACCAGCCTTCGACAGAAGATCTCACCGCACAGCACACTAAGGCACTCGAAGAAGACCGAAAGGATGCACTGCGTGAGTGCTATGAGCATGAACCAGTCACATTCAATCTTCGGTTCGTTCCACCTCGACCGTCGAACTTATAACAAACTCCTACCTCATTTCGATTCGGTTCATTTTGTGGTAACACTAGTCTGACTAGGGGACTCCAGTCTCCCATAGTCAGACTGTCTATATTGTTCTCACGCACCCATGAAGTCATGCCCACACCTTTCTCCAGCTATGCGCCATTCAGTGGCGTGCAACCTAGTCCTCGCCCACTTAAGGAAGGCCTGTCCGATGCTGTAGCAGTTTTCTCTTTTTGTCCCCGTTCTATTAGTCTTAGTCTCCTCCGTTCTCTCTATCATCGTGCGCACAAGCCCGAAAACATGATTTCTACCACTTAAACTGTGTAACTCACGGAGGCAAACTAAGTATCGTATGTGATTTACCTCGGAGTTTTAAGCTCGGACTTCTTCATCTCTTCAAATGTACCAAGATCATGCGCAACCTGGATACTTTCACTATAGATGATGTTGAAACTTCTGTTGTTAGCGATTGTCATAGTGGGATAAAGAGTTGCAGCTCCTCCGGGCGTGATAAATGACATATCAGCAGTGGTTGGACAGTTGATGATGACCCTCATAACATCTTGTTTGTCCCTAGATTCAGTGAGAGTGATGCGGGCTCCGAGGTGGTTGAATTCTGTAAAAGTTTGGACTGTAGATCGCATAATTCTGTGTATGGTGGTAGAACCGGTGACAAAAAAAAGGTCGTCGGTTAGAAATCGTGCCATAGTGTCGAATTCTCCCGCTGGAACAATGATATTGAGATTGTTGGTGGGATATGAAGGTGAACCCAGAATCATGTTGAGAGCGCAAGATCCAGTAATCACACCGCGTGTGGCGGTTAAAACGGCGAAGAATTGATGGCGACGACACTCAGAAAGGATGTACAGAGTCAGGATCTGGTGTTTGTATTTTTCTATGAGGTTGAGAACTACCCCACGCATGGTCGTGCACGTCTGTGCAACATTGAGCAAGTCTCGGAGGTTTAAGCCATCTAGTATTGCAACTACAAGCTCTTTGGCAAGTAAAACTTGAGTGGAGTGTAAGTGGTATGGGTGGCCATATGTGATGTGTTGGGTACCTCGTTCAATCAATCTCATATTTTTGACAGTGGGTAGCGCGTACGTGTGAGGTTAACCATCAAAGTTTCAGTTGAACGCACAGCATGACGTGCCAATCAACAAAAGAGCCCGAAGCATGCAAGGCCTTGTGAAGCTTACATGAGCATGCGTGCTGTGATTTAGCTTTTAAGACATATGCAACTTGTACACAAGGTCTTACATTGCGACATATATATGAATATATGCTTCGGGCAGCATATACGGTTCAGGCTCTTTTGTTGATCAGTGGTAAACGTAATAGCACAGGATGCTGGTGGAACGCCCGCAGAGATTTGCCGGGGTTTGTGTGCACGAAACATTCCGACATATGTTTGTAAGCTGGTGGCGCACCGAAAATTAGTGGCTCATCGTGGCTCATCGTTAACGTCGGTGTAATACTCGAAAGAAATGACATGACAGAATTTTAAACGGGATTTGCCGGGATTTGTGCGAGTGGACGATTTAGAATGAACTTTAAGTTACACATGTTCTGTAAATGGTTAACCATAAGCAAACCATAAGTGGCCATGCTACAGCGACCTCTGATTCTTCAACTATGGAGAAGGCGACCTTCAGTCAAACAGCATCTAAGTTGTTGGTCAGGTGAGGTTCCAAGCTCCCTTCTAACTCCCGTCGGATTGCTCCTATTTCATTCACCGTACTCGTCCATACATCCCTGCATACATCTGTATCGCTTTTGTCCACTGTTCAAAGACGAACCAAGGCTATCATGGGAAACTGGCTGTCAAAGGCGCGAACGCGTTCCAGTAAGGGCCAATTTGGTGACTTGTCCGATGATCGTGCAAAGGAGAACAAATTATCTCTTGTTGGGCACACCAGCAACTATGGATCAGCGCTGTCACCATGTTCTACCTCTGCCGCATTAGCAATGCCCTTGCCCCCTCACAATGATGCCAAAGGTATTTATTCCCCTCCGAAGTCTCACTCAACATTTATGATTCCACGACCAGCTGTGTCTTCTCCATTTCCGACGCGAGCAGAGTATCTCCGCCAGCCTTTGCGTGCAGAATCGTTGCAAGATGCGCTTCAGACGCTGCGCAATTATGACACCACTATCATCATGGATGATTCTTCATCTATGACTGGTTCGCTGTGGAATGAGGTATGATGTTTGTCGTATTCCTTGTCCATGAGGGCTGAAATCCCCCTCCTGTTCAGGCGGAACAGGCTCTCGCCACGCTCGTCGATGTAGCGAGCCAATATGATCCCAGTGCCGCTGTCATAGACATACATTTCTTGAACTGCAACGCAACCATGACGGGAGTTACGGTAGGTAGCATACTTGCACGTCACAAATCGATCCTGATGACCCTTCTATAGGACTCCAGAGTTGTCCACGAGCAATTCGCCAAATTCCAGCCCTGTGGCCCAACCACTATTGGGAATTGCCTCAGTATGATCCTCGGCGATTATTTCCGTGACCTGTATGCTGCTAAGGGACGGGAGGATGGATGCCAGAACATCAAGCCCTTGAATGTGCTCATCATTACTGATGGCGCGTCATGTGAGTCTGCGCGACACCTAATGGCCGAATTCGCTGACCTATTCGCGTAGCGGATGATGTAGAGGGTGTGATCGTCTATTTTGCCAGGCGGCTTGAGGCCGACAAGTGGCCACTTGGACAGGTGACTACGCATCGCTTGTTTATTGGACTTGGTGCCGACAAAGCTATAGGTCGGGATACAGTTCGTTCAGATAGGGAATTCGAGGCATGCAGCACAGTTCCTTAGAGAGCTGGATGATTTGAAGCAGGCACATGTACGGGTATGCCATGACCTTACCTCACGTATCATCATGATTTACTAAAAGCACCGTCAGGACATCGTTGACACAACGCCCTATATCGGCCAACTGCATGCTGACATGCTGATCAAGGTCCTTGTCGGTGGCATTAATCGCCGCGTGGACACGAAGGGTGGTGATTCGGTTGAGTTTTAAGTTGCGAGACACTGGATACAACACTTGTATCATATCTGGAGCTAAGGATTTGTCGTCAGCTCAGTACCCAACGAATCTTCCTGTAGCAAATATACCTATGCATGTACGTAGCCTTAGAAATTTACCAGTACTGAATCATGAGTCTCAGTCTCCCAATGCGAATGCGAGAGCCCCAAAAGCAGGTGTAGCCTTAGACATCCCTCTCGCCTAGGTCTCGCTCCCCCGGCGAACGAAACGCACGACACCATCCAGTTCCGACATCCAGGTCTGATCGGGGAGATCGCCTTTATCTCAAGCCTCCCTCCAGGTGAGATTTAGGGACTGAGATGTAGGAATATTAATGAGAGTCATATCAAGGTGAACGTTGAGGGCCGAGCGTTGACGTGCGGACCAGAATCGGGTCAGCAGCGACTGCGACGGAGTCCGCATAAGTACTTCTGAGCCATAACCTCCAGAACATATCTGAAATTACTGGATAGTGAATAATGCATTCGAAATAGTAGGTTCCGTTGCGCATCCCTATATTCGGCCCTCGACATAACTCGATGGGATGAGGTGAACACAGGGTATCTGATGCCATAGCAAGTACTGATAGAGCACAGCGTCACAGCCATCGTGTTAGAATGCCTTTTTTTGAGATTCATGTCTCAACAAGAGTTGGACACGGTTTCAAAACGGTGTGCTTGAAGTCGCATGATCACGGTTGCGCTCTGATCTGAACAAACGCTTAGCGATGGCTCGCCATAGAGTCTCAGGACTGCTCAGGAGTTGTGACTGGCGGAAACCAGCTATCGTCAGGAAGTTTGAGTTACTGACCTTTATTGAAATTAAAGTCACCCACAAATGGCACATTCAAGAGGTAATTCCCCTGCGATATTTATTTCGCCTGCGTGAATCACACAATTTAAGACTAGAACAACACTCCAAAATGAGACGGTGCTCACCTGTGGTTCAGCGAATGGCAGCTTCCCGGAAATCATATGTGACTCCACCTGCGTTTAACTCCAGCTGCACAAACCGCGTCCGCGTTCGACGACCAACTAAATCATGCCAGAAGACACCGATTTCTCTTACACAAGCTCAATCTTGGTTGCATGCTACTGAAATTTGAATGCATATAGCTGGAAATTGTAATTTAGAAGATGAGGCCGAAATAATGAAGTAAGCTCACCATCAAGCTCTTTCCCAGGTTGCTGTGGGGCATAGCATGGAACGTTGCAATGCGCAGTGACAGGGTTGGCAGAGAAACACGACTCGCGATCGTGGAAATGCTTTGATCTGTGTTTGTATTTGTTTGGTATATAGGTGGTATGCTGCACGCGTTGACCTCGAGGAGAAGGGCACGCTACAGATTATAATTTACTAGCTTCCAGATATCTTTTGTACCGTCCTTCCTTTGTTTCCTGATTTCATTATCTTCGAGTATCGAGCAGAGCAGACGGTCAGAACGATAAACGATGGTCTTTGGTCTATTCGCTCGCAAGCTCGATCCTTCATCCAATACCCAACTACATACGAGTACACCCTCAACATCTCCCTCAATTTCTCACACAAAACCCCCTTCTTCCTATCTCCAGCCGAATTCTCACGAGCCCGAACCCGAGCCCGAGTCTCAGCCCGAGGTAACAGACCCAACAGCTCTCTATGACCTCATACGTTCTGTCCCTCCTCAAACCTTCCACCACCACCGCCCTCCCCACGCACACTCACCATCTTCTCCCATGTATCCTGCGATCTATCCCCATCACCCCAACTCCATTGCGTGCGCTGCCACGTATCCTTTGATCTTTCAAACATGGACACATCTTGCCGCATCAATGATCAGGGCGCACTTGTTGATCACTTGGCGTATCAGACGGTGTGGAGCTGCTGTGAGGGAAGTGTTGGGGTGGTGCTATAAGGGAAGACATACAGTGAGCATCTATCTCGTACTTCATATTTCAAACGCTGATGACAGATACAGATAGACATCTAACGTGTGCGCTTCCTCCAGATTCGTCCATCCATGACGATCACAGTCCCATGCGCTTCAGTAGGGTGTCACAGCCGGAAATGCAAGCACAGCGTATCCGTCTCCGCCAGTATAATCACAAGGAAGAAGGAAAATGCGAAAGCAGTCGACAATCCCTCACCCAGGTCAGCTACTAGTGCTACCCGCTTCTAAGGCATCCGACTCGCCCAAGCCCACCGCAAAATCCATGTCTAGACCTCCACATCTTCACTTTCAGTGACACTCACCCAACCACACAACAGACCCCAACCTAAATCCAACCTCCACCAATCTGACGTCGCTTCTCCCACCATAGACGGCGGTTCCGAGAAGGAGAAGGAGAAAGGGACGAGGGAGAAGGATGGGGATGGGGGTGAGAGGGGGCGAGGAAGGGCGAAGAAGGCGAAAAAGAGTCGTGTGGGTTGAGTCTACCCTGTTTGAATCACATAGTATTATTCCGGTGTGTCTCACTCCCAATAACCCTCCTTGGGCACGCTATCCTTTATCGCCCTCTTTTCCCACAACTCCATTGCATGTGCTGCCACACCTCCTTCACCTCCCTCTGATAATAACAGCACCATTGTTGATCTTACGGTTCATGAGACGCTGTTGGACTGCTGCATGGGAAGCATCAAGGAGAAAGCGTATATAGCTCCTACCAGTGGTGAGGATTTGTCTCGTTCTCCAGATTTCGAACCTAATTCCAAGTACAGATATCAACCTAACAAACTTCTGCGCAGCTTCGACTATCATCGATGACAAGCTCATTGCACATAATAAAGTGGCGTATTCATCGCAGGCGCTGGCGAGTTGGTCTGGAGCGTCGTGTGGTAGACATACAGTGCAGCAGTTCAACTCGTCAGTGTCAGAAAGACAGGCGTGCACGACCGCTCGGATAGGTATGACCACTAGCTTTTTAAATATGGCGTGCGTACTGACTAAAAACTGCATCCTGTTATCCTCAGCGCTACGAGTATTTTTAGTCCATTCTGCGCTACATATTTAAGGCGACAGATGCCCGTCCTCACGCCCCAGTCTCGTTAACCGTTGACTGAGGTTTGTGCACTAGCTCTTACCTTTGATACTCTGCTACTTCTTCGGCTACCTTAAAAGCCTGCCTATCAACCCAGTTACTCGTTCGTCCAGGTCATGCATTGCCTATTATTGATGTTCCTCTTGCGCAGGGGTAAAGAGGTACGCTCGGTTTATTTTTTCCCACTTTTTCTAATCTTATCCATTCGATTGTAGTGCAACGCTGCAGCGGGTGTGAAAACTATGTTTCTACTCCTTCACCGAAACCTCACAACAACTATCCGCAGGAGGCGGACAGCATGGAAGTGGCCGGTTGTGCGGCTGCTTCTAAGCGGTCTTGATGATGTTCGGGTAAGTATTTTAGCGAGTGTTAGCACGCCTTACTTCACTCTTTGTTACGCGTGTTATGCTTATCCACATTCCGTGCTCCGCTTCGACAGCTCTCTTTTCACTTTGCTATTAGTCCCCTGGAACAGTTTCCCCTCAGTACATTAATGTGAGCTTATGTGCTCCCAAATGGACAGACGTCGAATCTTACGATTGTGGGGAACACTTCCCAGCATATCGTCGATTCCGCAGCCAACAGCACCAGGCTCTGTGCGTATTCTTTTCTTACGTTCTTTAACTGCGCATCTCGTACTCTCCCCTTCAAACTACCCGCTCCACGGAAATTACGACACTTATCACGCATACCTTAGTGATCGTATGCGACTCATTGCGACCGCCCTCTCCGTGTCCATACTATTTGATGCCAAGAATTCCCTCACAACTATGAACACGGAACTGTGTGCTGTCAACCTTTGGAAGTGAGACATTGTGGAAACCGCGCCGCTTCATCCAGGACCACTCGGTTCGTTGTATGCCAATGCCTGTATCATATTTTCCGCTTCATTCCTCCTTAATGCACAAAGTGCATCTCAGCAGGATTAGCCCTGCTACCTCCGTCCAACCCTGTTCCGCTTTTCCGACACTACCCCTATGTCCTCCGACCCCATACCCCTTCCATCTGACCCTATCTGGGGTTCCGCTCCCCCACCCTATCGGTCCACCCGATCCTATTCCCACTCCCTCCGCTTCTCCGACCCACTCAGTTCTGCTTGTGTTGTCCCACCCGACTATCAGTCCGTCCGACCGCCTCACTGGTCCACTCCTAGACTAGGAACCACTCAACTGGTCCTATCCCTGTTTAGTATTATAGTTCCGCTTTTTGGATCCCCAGTAATCCCTATAACCTAGCGAGTCTGATCTGTCGCGTACATACTTTTCTCCGAGCCTTATTCTCATATGTCTCAGTCATCCCATTGTAATCCTGTACACTCAGCACATAGCCTTCTGCTATGCTATGCTCATCACCTAGAGTATATAAACATATGTACATTTGTCTGTAGATACTCAGTCTGAATATTACCTTTTCTAAGCCCTGCTCTTCTGCTCTTTGACTTAAGGCTTTTCCCAAGTCAAACTCCTGTTTCCCGGCCTAGGGGATTGACTCCCTAGGTCAGCTGTCCTCCGACCCTTGGCTTCCCCACTTCCCCATTCATCTGTCCCACTGATTTCCGCTGGTTCCGCTATTCTGCGGGTTCTGCTACTCCTCCGTTCCTCCGTTCCTCGTTCCTCCGTTCCTCCGTTCCTCCGTTCCTCCGTTCCTCCGTTCCTCCGTTCCTCCGTTCCTCCGTTCCTCCGTTCCTCCGTTCCTCCGTTCCTCCGTTCCTCCGTTCCTCCGTTCCTCCGTTCCTCCGTTCCTCCGTTCCTCCGTTCCTCCTGCGCATCGGAACTAATCCCCACGCTCTCGCATCCGTCCCCTCCATTCCGCTCTGCTTCGGACTTCGTCTGAGCAGTTCCTCCCACTCCATTCCTACTGTGGGATCCGACCCCAGTAGTCCCCTGCCTCTCTCCTGTCGGGCGGAACCCCCGCCCGACTTTCCCATGCTCACCTAGTAGTCCGACGGTCCTCCTTCAGAGGATCCCCGTTCCGACGTCCTGTCAGAACTCATAGAACTCGCATTGGACTACATCCCGAAATTAGGGGCACGTACTCGGGTAAGGGGCGCAGCGTATGAGCTGAAGCCAAGCCCCCCAGAATCTGCCCTACCACTGAGCACAGTCTTAACAATACCTTTCTTCATCGTGTATATAGGTCACGAGGCATCATACCTCAATATTGAGACACTCAATCTCTTCACGCACCTGACACATTTTGAAGTGGAGGTCCATTGTGCTACAAGCAGCAGCCAATGACCAAGGGTGTTGAGACACGTCTGCACATGTATCACGTAGCAAGTCGAAGTCTGCAAGGAACGCGTACTCTACGACCTCGTCCCACTTAGGTGTCCGGTGGGGAGGGTGCATTGACCCAGTGATAGCATTGTATGTGTTGAGGGCAGTCCTGATGGCGACGGAACGTGTTTGCAAGGTCTTAGCGATATGCTTCCACAGTTTGTAGCCTTGTTTGGTGTTAGAATCAGCAAGCAAGATACTACCTTTTACTCACCTGTGCCTGCACGGTTCATCCTTGTCAGCTCAAATATGCGTGCAATGATCAATCCTTTGAGACGATCCAGTGCATGCTGGTATTTCCAGTTGGCCACGAGTCTCCCAACCTTCTGCCACTCTGCATCGTGGGGAGTCCAGCATTTCTCGATCTCGAGCTTGCACTTGAGTGCCTGAACAAGCTTCAAATTCCTCTCATGGTCCTCAAGAGCATGCCATCGGGCACTCTCGGCATTGCGAGTATTCTTCGCCTGCACATCATATGGTACAGCCTTGAGGTGCGATGAGCCCTGGAAAGCCGTTATTGCAGCGTCCAGAGTTTCCCTAAGCAAATTCAGTCAGCAAGTACAAGGCCCATACCTCAACATCTGAACTCACTCACTCGCAGTAAGACTAACCAACCTCTGCCAATACTCCATCTGTAGAGTTTCGACCTCAGGTTCTCATGTCAGACCTTGAAGATATACCTTTTCTTCCTCCAGCCAGTGCTCGAAAATGGTCTCATCCATAACATTGAGATCTCACATAAGGTTTGGTAGGGTCACATCCCTGTCATTCACGATGTCAAGTGCCTGCTTGTAGTTATTGTACAAAAAGTCGGCTAGCAAACAGAAGGATTATGTCAGCATGCAATCAAGAGTTTGATGACAAGACAGCTTACAAAGATTCACATACACTTCAAAATTGATGTTGTGCTCGAAATACGTGTTGATAGCCTGTCGTCTATGGAATATACTTGCATACCATAGTGCAGATGCTAGCAAATTGGATTTTGAGAATGTCCATTCACACGTTTCCAGATCCTTGAGGCCCAAACCTTTGATGTAAGTAGTAAGTGAGAAAAGTTGGCACAATTGCCTGTGCGCATGTCCATGGAATGCACTGACAAGGCACATGTGATGCATAGACCGTGCAAGGGGTCTGAGGGAGCTGTTGTCAAGTGTGGTCTTGAATTGACAACCTATGTCATATCCACCACCCAGATTGCTTCCAAATACATCCAGCAACTTTGAAACAATGGCCAAAGGATACTTTGACAGCTCCCCGCTCTGTACCATATCCGCAACAAGCAGAGAGAATCCATGGCGGCACACGGCCACAAAAATGCCTGTTTCATCATAAACACCCCATGCTTGCCTCGTCTTTGCGTTGTCCATGTTCTTCCAGCATCCTTCACACAAGTTCTCGAGATGTACATCCTAATATGTTAGGTATTAGCCGTCACCGACCCAAATGGAAGGCACCTCTCACCTCATCACCTGCAGTAGTGGAGTCCCATGTGAACTGATCAACAAAGGTGCGAGATAGGTAGCGGTCACTTGCCAGTTGCTGCCCCGCTGGAAGTTCCGAAGATGTACTGAGAGAATTGTCAGTATCTAGAGATATTCGGAGGACTCTTTTTAAAGAGTCGTTACCATCCATGGTGTAGAGGATGCTAAATGTTAACTCGTGTTCATCTGTTAGTGTATATGTACATGTGGGACAGTGTCATATACCTGATCCATCCATGCCAATATTAATATCCGATCCACCCGATTCCGCATCCCTTCCACTTTCCGACCACCTCCGCTCCTATCCGTCCTCTGCTCTGTCTGATCATCTCCTGACCAATCTGCCCTACACTTCCGCTCGACCGCCTGACCGGTCACCTCTCGTAATGTCTCCATTCAACTGGAAACTCTTTCCCCTTTTAGGTATATACTTTCCCCATTAGTACATAGACCCTTACTTCCGGATCACCAGTAAATACCTTTTACCGCTCGATCACTCATCCAACGTGTACATATTGATATCCGCTCCGACGCATATGTTTTCCGCTTACTACTGTACAGTAAGTACATAGCCTTAGCTATGTCTCAGTTATCACTGCCTCACACTTAGATGTATATAAACATATCCTGTACTTAAATATTTCCTCAGTCTTAATATTACTTGCATTCTCGCAGTTTCTACTTGTGAGGATTCTCTGTAGGACCTTGCTACCTCAGGACACAAGTTTTGCCTTGTTGTCACCTCTGACCCTCCACTTCGACTTAGAGTCATGCTCTAAGTCTTCTCTATTACTTCCCCGCTCCTATCAATAAATCCCCTCTGCTCCTATCCACCCTCCGCACTATCCTCCACCTTCCCCGCTCCGCTCCTAGTCGGCCCGCCGCTAGTAGTACTTACTTCCCGACCCTCAAAGTGGACCCTAGCGGTCTACCCATCCTATTGTCGGACAACGTCAGACCTGCTCCAAATTCGGGGCACGTACTTGGCTAAGGGTGCAGCGCAAGAGCTGAAGCCAAGCCCCAACCCCTCCACTTCTTGAGAGCACAGTACCTAACAACAGGTGTGTTTCATGTGCCAATCAGGCATGTCATGTCATAACTATTTGGATACCATGGCTGCCATGGAGCATCGAACTTGAAGATATAAATCGAACACAATTGAGAATTGACGAGATAAGTGTCTGTGGAAACCAACCTGTGTGTGAATCAGCATGATAAGAACAAAAGAAATCAGAAGACATACGCCATGCAAATTGCACATGGTTTTGACGAAAGCCTGGATAGACAATTGAGGACTTCTAAGATGCGCTACATGGTATAGATCCAGAGCTTTGGTAGTGATTATGACAGTTGGTGATATAGGTGAACAAGGCATCATGCCTTGACGAACGAGCACACTGCTGATAGTGGCGTCTGTTGGTAAGATTCGAAGAATGACTTTCTCAGCATCTAAAGAACAGCCAGACATGCCATCATCAAATAGTAAGCAAATGACAACAGACCAAATCACTCACAGAACACATCTATCACGCTGATCGGCCATTGACCATAGTCAGAGCCACTCTCCAGGCCTAGGCCTTCTTTCTCCAATCTCTCAAAAAACCCTTCCTTACATTTTGCCAGGCTCCACACAAGGTACGCACTGGTTATCACTGGCAGCTGCTCAGCAAACACCTTGTTCCTGTGGAGGACACAATCACGACAGGTGCGGTTATCCACATGTTGAATGCAATTGTTGCTGCTCGCAAAGGTAACGGTCAAATGTCAAGGTAATAACGAAACTCACTCACATTTTCCAAAAGTCTCCTAGAACCTCTCTTGTGAGGTCAGTGAACTCGCCACCAGCATGGCTGATGGCGAGTGGCTCTGTTCCATTGCAGACATCACCAAAGCTGAAGTCATCGCAGTCTTCCTGCCAGCCGTTGATGGTGGTATTATTGTTCTCTTTCAGTGCTTTGAGTGCCCGACACTCATCCAAACTCATAGCTTTACAACAGGTTTTTTTTTCTTCTTCTAAGTATTAAATTAACATAGCATACCTTGTAGATGTGCTTGCCACCGTTCATTGGAACTTGCCGCTTGCTGAACCAACTGCCTGTGCTTGAGTACTTTGGACACGGAATTGGCTGGCAATCCATTGTTGTCCCTTGGTGCCCTGATGTGCCGAATGGATTGCAGAGAGATATTGGTGTGGAATTGCTGGCGTGCTCCACTAGTCCGTGTCATTCAGACGCATCTTATGTTTGTACTACTGTAAAGTCTGATCTATTTTGCACGTGACTGATTATCTGTAGCACTCCAACCAAGTCCTTCGTGAGATCGCTCCTATGTCAACACCATCTAGTAGCTGCCCTACCAGGGGTGACCATATTCAAGACTTGCACAATTTGCTGCAAGGGATGACACTATCAGGTGGGTGTTTCACCCATCCAAAAACTAATACACTGATGCTCGATAATAGATTCATCATTTGATACCATCACTTGGAGCTGCAAGACAACAGAAGAGTCCATAGCCCTGTCGAGATCATCGCTCATGCCATCCACGCCCGCCAGCATTTGTTTTGTTCCAAAGAAAAAGGCCCCCATTTCCCCTTCCACCACAGCTCGCTCTACTGCTACACCATCCCACCCTCAGCCTCAGGCTTCGCCAATGGTTGCACAGACACTCTGCCAAGTTATGGCTGCTGTTCCCATGCCTAGTGACATCCATCCTCCACAAGCTGATCAGACACCTGAGGGATTCTGGGTGATAACAGTTGGGCAAGAAGTCGGCGTGTTTTACCGCTGGTAGGTGTGCTGTGTCTGGGTACCTGTTGGCTTGTGTGGGCTAATTCTTGACGATGTTGTTAGGGCTGACATTGCTGAATGAACAAATTTTGTTAGTGGTAATGTTCAGAAACATTACGTGTCATTTCAACAGGTGTTAGCAGCATATACGGCCGGGTGTGACGAAGACAGGGTCCAGGCAGTTCCACTGGCAGGTGGCCCTTTCTGGCCATCCACCTCAGAGTCCTTGCCCAACCCTCCTTCACCTACATTGTCTGTGGGCTCATCTGTGAGCTCAGACTCATATGACCTATGGTTGCAGGTTGAAGACTTGACGGAGACAATGAGTCAGCTTTAATATAGTTTTGTTAAGACCGTGCTCAGGGGTAAGGCGGAGTCTGGGGGGCTTGGCTTCAGCTCATGTGCTGCGCCCCTTACCTGAGTACATGCCCCTAATTTCGGGATGTAGTCCGATGCGAGTTCTATGAGTTCCGACAGTACGTCGGAACGGGGGTCCTCTGAAGGAGGACTGGCGGACTACTAGGTGAGCGTGGGAAAGTCGGGCGGGGGTTCCGCCCGACAGGAGAGAGGCGGGGGACTACTGGGGTCGGAACCCACAGTAGAAGCGGATCGGGACTGCTTGGACAAAGTCCAAAGCAGAGCGGAAAGGAGGGGACGGATGTGAGGGAGTGCAGGGATCGGATCTGACACACGGGAAAGTGCGGCCGATGCACAGGGAGTCGGATGAGCGGAGGAACAGAGGAATGGGGGAATGGGGGGACAGAGGAATGGAGGAACAGCGGAATAGCGGAACAGCAGAACCAGCAGAACCAGCAGAACGGAGGGATGGGGAAGTGGGGAAGCCAAGGGTCGGAGGACAGCTGACCTAGGGAGTCAATCCCCTAGGCCGGGAAACAGGAGTTTGACTTGGGATAAGCTTTAAGTCAAAGAGCAGAAGAGCAGGGCTTAGAAAAGGTAATATTCAGACTGAGTATCTACAGACAAATGTACATATGTTTATATACTCTAGGTGGTGAGCATAGCATAGCAGAAGGCTATGTGCTGAGTGTACAGGATTACAATAGGATGACTGAGACATATGAGAATAAGGCTCGGGGAAAAGTATGTACACGACGGATCAGAATCGCTAGGGTATAGGGATTACCGGGTACCCGAAAAGCAGAACCATGATACTAAACGGGGATAGGACCAGTTGAGTGGTTCCTAGTCTAGGAGTGGACCGGTGAGGCAGTCGGACGGACTAATAGTCGGGTGGGACAACACGAGCGGAACCGAGTGGGTTGGAAAAGCGGAGGGAGTAGGAATAGGATCAGGCGGACCGATAGGGCGGGGGAGCAGAACCCCAGATAGGGTCGGATGGAAGGGGTATGGTGTCGGAGGACATAGGGGTAATGTCGGAAAAGCGGAATGGAGTTGGGTGGAGGTAGCAGGGCTAATCCTGCTGAGATGCACTTTGTGCATTGTTGGGGAAGGAGGAATGAAGCGGATGGGGAAACAGGGGGTTGGATCAGGGATGGGGATGTTCACAGGTGGTATTGGGGGTGCTCGGATCCGGTATATGACATGTTCACTATGTGTTCGCGACAATGCTCAGACTGTCGCCTAGACAGCCATCGCTATGTTCACTGTGTGTTCGCTACAATGCTCATGAGACAGCCTAGAGTTGGGCACACGTGCTGATAGTACCAGTCATTATAGATTGAATATGATACCTATTTACAATGTTCGTTATCTAGTTTCACCTCCATGAACTTTACCTGCAAAACCACAGAAACCAGTAAATCGTATAGTAAAACACTGTCGTACTTGAGACACTCCCTGCAATAAGGGCAACTGGTGTGTACAATCCCCCATATGGCTTCCAAGATCGTCCTCCCCTCCAAAGCATGTGTTGCACATTGATCAAGGAAAATATCAGTCTCATGTGTCCCCTCCATGTGAGCATGCGCGAGCGCTTCCTCATATGCTTCTCCCCATGTGTCTTCTGACACCAACCACTCCTTTCGCCACCTCTGGAAGATTCTCTTGGTGGAATCTAGAGTTTGAGAGTCATAGGGGCAGGGCAGATCGTCGTCCATCGTGAGCACTGAATCATCATTGGCGTCCCAACTAACATTGTGGGACAGGTCTTCACAGTCATCAATTGATGATGCGATGGGTGCTGTTTGATCTTCAGTTAGTTTTTTTTTCTTCCTCCTGTAGATCCGTTGAGTAAATACCCATGGTGATATACGAGTCCTCACCTTGCCCTATTTCTAAAAAAAAACATTCGTGTGAGCACAAACAGTAGAGTTGCATGGGGGATGGACTCACAAAGCTGCTCGAGCACGAGCCTTGGCATTTTGAGCTTCTTGAACTCTGTCTGGGGCCCGGGGGTGGTAAGCAAAATTTCAGTGACTCAAATGATTTGACCTACCCTGGTTTGGAGAGCCAACATTGCATAGCTGTGCGCTGCCTAGATGATGAGCTGCATGATCTCCCCTGAGTTGGACGTCCCTCAAATGCGAAGAATCATGCTTACCATGGTTTGGGGGAAAAGGAATGTGAGACAGCCTGCCATGAGACATAGATAACTGACGGTGATAAAAATAATATGATCAGACATCAACAGCTGGCAATGATCGAGATGATTGATGATATGTTTTGTTAAACATTAAGCGCTTGTCAGCAGAATGTGCTTACCTAATGAGTTGTTGGTCCAAGTTTAAGTAGGTCTGCTTCATTGTCTTGCTTTGGCATGCTGGAAATGCAACCGTGGCCAGTAGAATACCAGCACCCTAACTCAACAGCCAATGGCTCATGCCATTTATGCAGGTGCAAGTCCGCATGGGGACCCGAGTCATGCAACATGTACATTGAAGGTATGCCTCGATCAGCACTGCTTTGCACTGCTGTTAATATGTTGCCTGAGTGGTTTCATGTCAACCTCAAGATCTTACACCAATTTATGCCTTTTTTTCAAAAAAAAAATTGGTGTTGAATGATAGGATGTGCACAGCGTGTCACATGTCATTTATTGGTGAGATCAATATGATCCGTCACACACCAAACTCTGTGTTGAATGATAGGATGTGCATGGTGTGTCGGTGGCATCGTGTGTCGTTTATTGGCGTGATCTATATGATCCGTCACACGCCAAACTCTGAAGTCATGTCCCCATCTACGCTTTGTCTACCCACCGCTCCAAGTATCAGTTATCTTTACATGGCTGATGATTTTGATGCCAATGGCAACTTTATCTCGACTGGAGTTTTTTCAGGTGACAGTTTTGATCCAGTCAACAGCACTGGCAGTGAACAGGTTCCCAACATTGATCAGATTGACTGGGATGACCTGTCCCTGTACATTATGCCACTTACCAACAATGAAATTGCAGCTCTAACTAAGGACATAGCAGCTACAAATATCCCAACTATTCCAGAGCTCCCCACCCCCCCTGCTCGCACACCATTGCCTCAGCCGAGTCCCACCGAAGCAGAGGTGCCAGACACCACACCATCATCTCAGTCGAATCCCACCGAAGCAGAGGTGCTGGACACCATTGTAGAGATCCCAGAATCACTCCATGAGGCAAACACATCCTACTGGGCAGCACGGAACCCAACACGAGCGATTATCTGCCCTTGGACACCACCACCTCGACTAACAGATGCCCAGAAGGCATCTCAAAAGATCAAGAGGGGCCAGAAGATCGAGAGAACGAAGCACTTACATGACACAGTCGCTGAATACTTAAATGCACAGAAAATGAAGATCAAAGCACTCTCACGGGCTCACCATGTTACTCCCAAGCACATCAATGATATCATTGGCAGTCAGACACATTATTGAACCTTGCACAAAAGTCAATTAATCAACACACTTGTTCATGCCAAGGTGAAAGAGATGAACGCAGGTAAGTCAGATCAATTTTTACTCAGTTGTATCATGAAGCTTATCGTGCATCAACTAGATCGACCCGCAGGCTCTCGGTACTCATTGGCTGAACTTCGTGAGATGGTTGCGGCTGACCCTGAAACAAAAGGCCTTACCAGGCAAGAAAAGGAAGGTTACATTGCAGCTCTCAAGGAGCATCGTCAAAAAAGGTTGTTAGTGTTCAGGCGAACAATCTGGCAGCTGTGCAAGATGTTGTAGCCACAACGGATAGGATTGTGAAGGAGGTACATTTGAATTTTGACAGCAACTGACTAAACTCATTTTTTTGAAGCTGGATGATCTGCGAGTTCGGACTGGTGTCTATGACACACTATTTGTCATCCACGGTCACATCAATGACACCATTCAAAGTGCGATGCACGGCATGACACATGTAGCTGGGGGAGTGATGTATCAAGTACTCGTACTTGTAATAAAGGGTGATACACGAATCACTCTGAGCTGTAGGACTGGTGATACATCAATGTACTGGGCTGTGCAGTCCCCTAATAGACCGAGCATAGAATATGAACCAAGGCATTCTCGATCTTACAGATCTCTATGTAGTCAGTACCTTGCGATCCCAATCTCGTTCCTAGTGATCAAGCTATGTTTGGACGGCTGAGTGCATGATATATATATTAACGTCTGTACATGGGTGATGTATCAACTATACAACTGGGGTCGCACGTCGATGGTAGGTTCATCCTCACTGTCCGGTGGAATGTCCAGGGCGGCACTTATGAACATCGGTACATCTTTCCATAGGTCCTGAAAGGAGGCAATGAGAGACAGACACAGTGTAGCCTGTCAACATGCATATGCAGCCAGTCCTTCCTGTTCAGCTGTCAACTCTGGGGCTTGAGAACTATGCCTTCCACCCCACCACTCTGCCTGCCACCTCAAGAATACTGTAACTCTTCGCATCTCCTCAAGGAGGAGTTCAACTTCTTCTGACCAGCAGTTTACGTGCGTGCACGCTTTGCACCACTCTACTCGAACACCTAGCAGATGTCGTCAGTATACCATATCAAACTGGAGCTAGTAGACTCACAATCCTGAACTCGCTCATTTTCTGAGCTGCTATTGTCAACATGTGAGTCTAGCCAGATCCAAGAGATGGTACCACTCCCTTGTCTCTCCATGTCGCCCATAGGCCTCACTTCTGAATCCAAGAGTGGTGGAAGGGAAATGTCCCAGCCAGACTTATTGAGTTGATGGCTGAGAGCTAACAGTGCGTTATGTGCATGCCGGTACTTGTCAACACTAGCCTGTTTCCTCAGCTCCACACCTTCGATGAGGGCCTGTGCGCGGGTAGAAGTGGCCTGACTGCAGACATTTCTATCTTTGTAGATATACATGTGAGACCAAAGGCAGAGATGTGAATGGACTTCATTGAGAGCATCCAGTGCTTGTGCATGCCGTAGTTCCCATTCGTGTGCAGCCAGCCTGTTGTCGCATCCTGCTGTTGGTTGGAGTTCAGATGGGAGTCACAGCTTGAAGGCCTCAGGCTTTAGCTGTGCCGTATTTGTCATGCCAGCTTCTGAAGATCGATGACAAAGCTGGGACACAACAGGCATATATAGTTCCTGGACACGAGCCCAGGCATCCAGTCAACATTGAAGAGTGGTGATGCAGGTCTGCATGGTAGTCTTCTGCTTGTCCATGGGGTGGAGAGATGCATTGGTGATATCTGTCTTCAGGTGCTGTCTTGTTGGGATCTTTGTTATTGCGGTGAACTTGATTTGTTGAACAAAAAACTCACTGCTGGTCTTGTAGATCGATGTCGGTGGTGATTAATCTGCTTGGAGAAATGTTGGTATGCAGGGAGATGTTCATCCCAGCCTGAAGTTTGTGGGCTTCAAGCTCAGTGAGCTGTAGATGAACTGCAGCTTGTGTAATAGCTGCCAGACATTAATTTGTGAACTCTAAAAAATAGCATTACTCACAGGCATAGTGGCTCTTGAACGGATTAGGTTGAGAGTTGTCCTCGTCCCAAGCTTCAACTTCTTTCCTCCACTGAAGGATGAGCATTGGCTGAATGGTTCTTTCTAGCTCTGCCAGTCCTTCCCTGTGCTCCTTCTTCCACTTAATGGTGTCAGTGATCTTGCGCAAGAGTGTACGGCCTATTCCTGAATAAGCACAAGATATTCCACCAGAGAAACAACACAAACCCAGTGCCATAACCTTCTTCCAATTCCAATCCCTGAAATGATTGTCGAGTGTATCTCGACATGATCCTGGACCCATCTCCTTTGTGCTTGTCGCGACCTGGTTTATATTTGACCATCCGCGCTCAGGAGCTTCACTGTCTGTTCATCCCACATGTTTCAACCAGTTGAATGAGAAGTTTCTCTGACATTCGCCAATGTGTGCTTTCAGATGGAATTTGGGAACAAAAAATCAGACAGTCATGGAGTGATGAGGAATATGTAACCTTGATGGCATGGCTTCCATGCGTGTCCAGAGCTTCTTATGCCACTGACATGCAATGTCATAGGAAATATTGATCATGGTTACTGTGAAGGCCAATAGTGCCGAGAACACAAGGTAGTCCATGTTAATGTATCTATATATCCCATTAATCAGTGATGCTCGTGACACTAGATAAAATTAAATGCACTTGTCACCCTTTTGTAGGTCTCTGACACCATTGGCGAGTTTCATGTCATGTCTGGCACAATCTACTGCACCAACACCTGTGGGTGCCAGGCCATGCGAGGACTTTGTGTCTGCCATATTGACAGCATTATGACTAACGCATGTGCTGTGCTGGGATACTAGTCAGATGTTGCATGGCATAGTATTATGGTGTTTTACTTACATCTTGCTTTGCACCAGCTTGATCGGCCAAATATGACTTGTATGCCACCTCCTTGACGAAATACGCCCACCCAGAGTTGAGGCTGGGATCTCTATTATCCGAAGATACTGCCTTGTGTTTCAGTTGGAAGTTGGCATTGATCACAATAAACAGTGCGTATTTCCACCTGCATTAAAAATAGCATCAGCATCAGTCCACTGCTGTAATTACTGTTTACTTACCTAACCGATAACAGCTCATCCTGCCAGCCTTGCGGTATATTTTTGCCAGGTGTCATATACCTGATCCGACCCTGATCCATCTGCTCTGACAATATTGATATCTGCTCCACCCGACACTCATCCCTTCCGCTTCCGCCCCATCCGTCCTCCACTCCATCCAAACACCTTCTGACCATCCGCCCTATGCTTCCGCTTGACTGCCCAACCGGTCACCTTTCATAATGTCTCCATTCAACTGGAAACTCTTTCTCCTTTTAGGTATATACTTTCCCCATTAGTACATAGACCCTTACTTCCAGATCACTGGTAATACCTTTTACTGCTCGATCACTCATCCGATGCGTATATACTGATATCTGCTCTGACACATATGTTTTCCGCTTACTACTGTACAGTAATTACATAGCCTTTAGCTATGTACCAGTTATCACTGCCTCACACTTAGATGTATATAAACATATCCTGTACTTAGATATTTCCTCAGTCTTAATATTACTTGCATTCTCGCAGTTTCTACTTGTGAGGATTCTCTGTAGGACCTTGCTACCTCAGGACACAAGTTTTGCCTTGTTGTCACCTCTGACCCTCCACTTCGACTTAGAGCCATGCTCTAAGTCTTCTCTATTACTTCCCCGCTCCTATCAATAAATCCCCTCTGCTCCTATCTACCCTCTGCATTATCCTCTGCCTTCTCTGCTCCGCTCCTAGTCGGCCCGCCACTAGTAGCAGTTACTTCCCGACCCTCAAAGCAGACCCTAGTGGTCTACCCGTCCTATCGTCGGACAACATCGGACCCGCTCCAAATTCAGGGCATGTACTCGGCTAAGGGTGCAGCGCAAGAGCTGAAGCCAAGCCCTGACCCCTCCACTTCTTGAGCAGCACAGTACCTAACACCAGGGTGGGGACATGCTGGACACTGCACAGCTAATTCACCTGCAGTCGTGGCCTTGGCACCAGCAGGATCATGGCCTCTCCCTGCACGACGGAGCTGCCTGAGATGTCTCCATTCATGGACCATGCGCATGAATGCAGAGTAGCGATCCTAAAGTCTTGTGTCAGTAACTTGCAGTACTCATATGTTCTGACTACATACCCTTATTTGCAACAGGCCCGCATTGTTGTTTCGTCTTGCCAGTGAGTGGTAAAATTCATAGGCCAAAACCTTGCTCTCGAAAGACAGGAGGTGGAAGTGCTCCAGTAGAGTGAATGTTGCAGCAGTGTGAGGATCCGATGTGGTTGCTGGATACCAGTGTGTGCGAAGTAATTGTTTGTAGCAGATTTGAGCACTTGTGCAGCCACAAAAATTGAGTGCGATCTCATGGACACCATGGACGTCGATGATGACAAAGTCATCACCGGTCGAGGGACAAGGGTTGTAGCACCTCTCACCTGGCTTGTGTCCTAGCTGCACATGTAGACCCATTTTTTTCAGGGTGGTGCACTGGAAAAATAAGTTGTTCCACATCTTATAGGGAGCTATCAGTCTTTAATGTTAGCAAATAAAAACATGTACGTACATCAATCCTGTGCAAAGGATTACTCATGTGACTGTGAAGCATGCACACTTGGCAAAACATCTGCATGCCAAAGCAGTTGTGACATCTGAAAAGGGGTACAGCAAGACCACAATGACACAAACTCCCTGCATTTCCATGACCTTCAAGGCACAGGGTTTCATCCAGGAAGGCCTGACACTTGGGGATCCACGCTAGCAAGGGCATATCCTGATACATAACTTTCAAGTCATGTAATAAATGTAGGGCAATGATACTCACCGCAGCAGTGTGTTTGTGTTTGTCACATGCAATGAGATCCTGCAGCCCGTCCTCTTCCAGGGGGGATTCATCCCAGTTGCTGCCAAAGAGCATGCCTTCATCAGAGCCAACATTCGGGGAGTCGAAGGCGAGGAGGGAGGGAGCAGGCACATAGTGAGTGTGCAGTTGTGTGCAACCATCAGTAGTGATCTCTCCTGTATGAAGCCACAACAGTGGGCCATTGCTGATGGAGGGTAAAAAATGAGTTCGTTCAACCCGGCCACCCTTAGCTGAACGTCCCCAAGACATAGACCTGTCCAACAGCCACAGTTAGCCAAGGCTCAAGTCTCCAAAGTCCGAAAGAAGCTTGGAGAATCCTGGTAAGTATATTTAAATTTGCCACACATATAAAATATACCTACTGCACACACGATTCTCACTGCTTCTTGCTGCCCTACCACCTGCAAATACTCACAGGCAGCATGTCCTCCTCAACCAATATCACACACCTCAGCATCGCATCCTTGAGACGTAGACGCGAAGGTGAGCAAATCAACATATACTTCTCAGAATGAAACTTATCTACTACCAGATGGGATTGCGTGTGCCTGTTACCTTGTAGCCAGGTATTATCAGAGCCCAAGACGTCAGGCACCTTTTAGCTCTGCTCAGTTAGATTGGCTCAAAGAATGCATACAAACCTACATGAGATACCATCCAAAGTCTGACGAAACCCATCACTTCATCAGATCAACCACAATTGAGTTTGATACATTATGGCCATTTTGACAAAAGTTGTGGCCAGGATCTACAGCTGAAACTCTATTCACTGACAATATGTGTGCGTTGTTGTTAGCACTAAAATTGATAGTTCAAGCAGTAAGTCTCCACGTAATAGTAATGAGCACAAAGACTCGCTGACCTCGGAGTAGAACATAACTGGCCACCTGTTATGGCAAACACGATATAAGCTCTGTCGTGAGAAGAACCAAACAGGAATGAAGCCTGCTAAATGGTTCTGGTATTGGGGTGTTGGTCAAACTTGAAGGCTTGAAGTAGTAGTTAGAATACTACTAGCCTACTTGTAAACGGTGAATATCAGTCAGAAATTCGAAGGTGCACACGTACTTAAGTTCTGTGCTGCTTGGCCGATGACAAAATCAGATGAATAATGCGGTCGAATAATGCAGTCAAGTATGATGATCATTCCATGAAGGACTGACTGATTATCTTTAGAGCTTAGTCAGCTGATCTTCTTCCTCTGCATATGCACAACATCCAGCTTTATATGGGCCATTAGTAACAATCCTCGTTCTTTGGACTTAACTGCCATGATTCTTGAGGATCCTGAATTACTACACCTGGGCTACATAAATGCCTGTCATGGTGAGTGATGCATCATTCACTGCCGCGTTATCCAGCCTTATTATTACCATGACCCAAAACCCATCTCCCTCCAGTCAAACCAATACTCTGGTGTCGGTTTGACTAGATGGTCTTATCAACATCCTCTCGGGACTCTGTCTCAACAACAGGATGGCAATATCTGCTGCATTGCAGGAGGCTGGTACCGGCCAAAATGTCACCGAAGGTGAATCCGTATTTTTATTTGATTTACCATGACTGACATCGCTTCTATAATGTTGCAGAACCCATTGATAATGACTCGGCTGCTTCTACCTTGGCTACCATGGACATTCCTGTCCCTGTTCCCCATGATGCTGCCTCCCCCATCACAACCGCAAGTCCTTCTACTGCCGCAACTGAAACCACAGCTCCTGTCATTGTCATCACAGACTCCGATGATGAGGACGCTTTTCCCCATGATGCTGCCTCCCCTACCACAACTGCAAATACTTCTACTGCCACAACTGAAACTACAGCTCCTGTCACTGTTGTCATGGACTCCAATGATGAGGATGCTTCCAATGCAGCTGAGTCTCTTGCCCAGGACTCCACCCTTCATTCTTATTCCAGTAAATATTTCAACGTGCCTATCAAAGACAAGGCGCCCCTCTACTATGTTATGTGGGGCCGTTACATTGGCATCTTCTCAGGCTGGTAAGCATAGATATACTTCATCTATCATATTTACTAAATTTTCATGGGCAGGGATGTTACCAGCCCCAAGGTCACTGGAGTTTCACCCGCCATCTTTCACAAGGTAGACTCTGTTGAACAAGGTATCAGGATTGTGAAATGCACGATTGAACGTGGTGAGGTGGTGCAGGTAGCTTAGTCTTACTAGTAGTCAGATCTATGTATACCCACGAAGTGTCCTGGTTATAAGTCAGTGTGTTGTCGAACATGAGCTTCCAGTCCTCTTTGTACTGCGTGATACTCTTGTAATATAGTCTGTGTGTTGTTGAACATGAGCCTCCAGTCCTCTTTGTACTGCGTGATACTCTTGTAATATAGTCTGTGTGTTGTTGAACATGAGCCTCCAGTCCTCTTTGTACTGCGTGATACTCTTGTAATACTCAGTGTTACCTGCATTGTCGAACATGACTTCCAGTCCTCTCAAGCCATTCTTCGAGTGAGTAGATTGAACAAGGTTAATCTAATAAGACAAACAATATGATCCTTCTCCCATCAAGCAGGACTGGCCTGCACCACATGAACCTTGGACTCCCGAATCAAGTGAGCTCTTGCAGCCTGGACAAGCTCAATGAGCGATGGCATTTTTGACTGGAAGAATTCAGTGCCAGGGTGTAATAGAAGAGATATTGAAAATACCTTATGGTAGTGATAGGACTCAAAAGTAGTATACACTGGTGAAGGAGGTGGAGCAGGAGGAACAACACATGTGGGCCTGGTTGGCCTATTTAGCATCCTGTGAAAATGAGGGTTAATAATATTGCTGTGGAGCACACTAGTGAAACTACCTGAGGGGGTGTACTGTTACCTGGGATGTGTAGTTTCTTTGCGGGTGATAGCGCAAACTTGAAAGACCAATATTGGGTTTGTTTTGAGTTGGTGGAATAAAGTCGTGTAAATCTCCAAATTTGTCTCCTACTTGAAGCATTTCAAAACTCCTACGCAAATACTGAGCATACAAACTGCTTACTTTCAAACCTCTTACTTTTAAGCCACTTTTGGGCACATGGCACAACCATGGCTACATAACACTGAAGAAGAGAAATCAGAGGCAGCACACACTTATCGGCGGTCATACTATGCACGGTATGTTTCGATAATGTTGTTTCTATTGGCCTTGGCATGGATGACAAGCGACAGCTGTACTAATGATATTTTTCCAGTCAGCGCGACAAGTTACACACACCAAAACAAAAGAACTGCAAGAAGGGACGACAATATGATAGGTGAGTACATACCTGCTGGTGATCTGAACTGAATCTAATATCTGCACAGCGACACTGCATTGATGCCTGTAGTAGGAAGACCACGCCTGTACAATACCCCTGAGGAGAAACTTGAAGCAAGACACAGTTCCAGGTGGGCATATTACAAACGGTATGTTGCCAGTGTGACTTGCCAGTAAGACAGTCACTGATTGATTCCAATTACTATTAATTAGTAACCGTGATGAGATTTGTGCTAAAAGACAGGAAAAATACCAAGAGAAGTCAAAATTGAAGGAGTATGTGGCTCTACTGTACGTATACTGTGTTTCATTGATCGCAGGGCAGTCGAAGTGGTCTCAAATTGTCAGTTTCGAAGAGAGATTATGGTAACAAGAAACATTCTCACAGCTGGTATGCCATTGATTCATCTTGGGAGCATTCCGTAATATATTGATCTTTGATCAAGGACCAGACAATGTGATGACGTAGATGCCCACTTGCAGGTGCTCATCAGCTCTTCGAGCACAGCGAATTTTGTCAAGGGCCTTTGCACCTATTTCATTTCTAACCCAGACAACCCAGATTCCCTGGACATCATGCGGGGGGCTATTGATGCCTTGGAAGACCTTCGTCGATGTGCGCAGTCTGTTGTAGACAGTGTTATTGATGAATGTGGGACAGGTGTATGGATGTAATGTAGCATCTTTGTATATGTACAAATGATATACGTTGTTCCCCTAAGAATAACTGACTAATAATTCGGGAGTACGCACCTGTGGCTCAAGGAATTTTATGCATCTGACTGAAACTTTTCATTTCACATCTGACTTTTTGTCTTCATTAATTGGCTCACTCACGCAACAATTCGGCAAAAGTAATGCGACAACTTGGCAAAAGTACGTCCTGGAAGATCGCCTCAATGTTAGCACTGACCAGTAATTAAATGAAATCATAATAGATGGCACCACATACTTGGCTTTCACAGGATCAGCAAGCCTTTGTGCTCACATACCAAGAGAAGTTCCTTGAGTGCAAAAAAAACGGGAACTATACTGGTTTCTGGCTGCCCTTCTTTGAGAAATGGGAAGAAAGTTGGCCTATTATTTTAAAAGATGTGCCCTTGGATCCTAAAGCGGAGCTTGAGGAGATAGGCAAGGCAAGGGAGGCCCTTCAGATGGTAATTTTATCTCAATAAGTGTTATTGGAATATTGGTTAATCGCGTGGTTATACTTACTAGCGTTTGATCGTCAAACTACGCAACAATTTTGGTAATTCAAAGGTGGGTCACTGGGCAAACACCACTGGGAACACGATTGTCAACAAGCTCATTGGCAACATCACCATCAAATCAGGAAAAAAGAAATCTCACTCTCTCGATGCAACTGAGGTATATGCCAAAAAGTATTATGCAACGCATGTGCAGCCTGCAGTCAAGGAGGAGCTCGAGGCTATGAAGGATGCACCGGACACACCCGCACCAAAGAAGTGGGCTATGCAGGTTGTTCGCAAACAACTGGCATCCTGCTGGGAAAATGAAACTGCGGAGGTGAAGGAGGAAGTCACCAAATTGGCACAAGAGATGAAGGAAGAGAGGGAGAAGGACATCAATCACAAAATGAAGGAGCTGTCAAAGGACTTGTAAGTGATTCTTACTTATCTCACTTGATTGTCGCTGATTGGCAGGCAGGATCATATCCAGACTTACGGAAATCCTGTTGACTTTTTTCACCGAGTTGCACGATGCAACAGGATGGACTTTCAGTATTTTGCTTGCTGGCCCTGACCCTATGAATGCTGGCAAACTCAATGTCAGTAGCTTGCATATTGGGACAACTACCGCTGGCAGTCAATTCAACCACATATTTCCGAACTTCAAGGAGAGGATCATGGTACCCTACTTTGAATTTGCATCCTGGGTGTTTCGTGAGTTGTCCAATGATTCACTGTCTCTGCTTTAAGCTGATCGAGATGTAGCCAATGCTGCAGTACTGTTATCAAAGGCAACTACACCTGATACACTCACACCATTACCATCGCCATCAGAGCCATCACCTGCACTTTTGGGACAGGAAATCCCTCCCAATGATACATCACTCGCTAATACTCATAACGGCTTCACATATTCTCCAATGGACATCGCACCTGATACATCACTCACCAGTGTCTCTTCAACTTCGACTCTTATGTATGTCACACCTAATACATCACTTGCACTGTTGGGACCATTGCCATCACTGTCAGAACTATCACCTGCACTTTTGGGACAGGAAATCCCTCACACTGATACATCATTGACTCACATACCAGAGCCAGCCTATAACTTCTTCCAATATTCCCCCACTGATCCTCAAGACGACAGCACTGATCTAGACTCCAATAGAACAATTCTACCCATGCCACCGAACTATCAACCACCATCTCCCCTACCTCCCTCTTCTCCACTACTGTCTTCATTGCCTTCTTTACTGTTCTCTCCCTTACCTTCTGTGTCAAGAATTGGTCATGATATCCTATTCCCTGACGTGCTCAGCTTCAATTTTGTCAATTCCTATAGCCGTGGCTTTGACAACACGACTTTGGAGAGCTTGAGGTCCCCCCCTCGTCTTCATCATCTATTGTCTACTCAACAGACTCCTGCTGCATATGGCAGCACTCCCACTCCCATGGCAGTTCCGGCTCTTGCTCCTGCAGCAATTCCCACCCCTGCCCAAACTCCTACTCTGGCAGAAACTCCTGCCCAACGTGAGCCTTCTGCAGCAGTTCCCAATCCTCTGACCCCCATTCATCCTGTGGCACCCATTGCTGCACCTCTTTCTCCTGCACAGATGTCCAGCTCTGCCTGTCCTGGAGAGACTGCCGGAGTTTCTGGGGCATTGCCAGTGGTGGCAACGAAGGCTTCTAAATGCAAGTCCATGAAGACCAATGTGGAGAGCTCTGAGACAGTTCAGGCAAAGCCTCAGAAGAGAGGGGGTGCAGAGGTGGCCTCAAATGAGAACTCACAGCCCGTTGAGGGAGGTCGGGGCAAACAGCAGCAATTCCAGTTGTCTCAGGCGGCCGCTGCCAATGCCATCGGGACAAGCTAGGTAAAACTTTGCACCTCATACATATCGTAGTATACTGCACGCATGTTTGAAAGTATATTTTGAATAACATTGCTTCATCAAATTTCTGTTGCACTCGACTCAAGCATCTGTGTAAGAAAACCATCAAGTGACGAGGATCATCCCCAGTGAAAGCTGGACCTTACCAGAGAGGCTTGTAGATGTTATTTTTTTGTATTGGAGAGAAAAACATATACAAAGGCCTCAGAACATGCAGCGCACAAGAATGAGAATAATGTAATGCTCATAGTGTGTCAATTATGACACTATCGCAAAGCAGTATAGTAGTACAAATTGCAGGTCAGGTATTCCATAGCGGTGGTATCAAAAGCAGGATAATATTGATGATAGCATGGAAACGGGAATACTACATACAATGACGTGAAAAATCGTCATGATGGATGCGAGACTCGGATGAAGAGAACAGACAGGGAAGACGTGGTTCGTCACAAATGGACTTGCCCAAGGTCTAAGAATTGTTGGCAACCTGTTACGAGCAAACAGTTAGAACAACATCAACAAACCAAAAAAGTCATGCACCGATAGAGTAGCTCTTGCCGTTCTAAACTCGTGTGGTCAGTGTAATCGTATCTTCAGATAAATGACACATGAGATACTCACAAGTCGTTGGGTCCAGTCTTCACTGGGGATCATTGATCATCGCTCGCTATCATGCATTCATCAACTGTACAGTTTTACCAAAAGGGTTCCCATGCACCGGCACATAGGTGCCTGAAGGTTTGGATCCGTATGGCGATATAGGGCGCTGACAAATACAGGAAGGATAGGAAGCAGGATATAAATAATGTAGCTGCAAATATAGCCAATATCAGAAGAAAGGAAGTAAGGTACAAGCTTGACTAAGCTTGATGGGAAGCCAGGGACTGGACCGACAGCTGGGTAGGTGGGATCCTCCAGCGATACATTAATGATACATCACTACTACACATGCCAGTGATCTCTGCAGTACAATCATTATTGTATCACCCATTACTGGCATTGCTAGTTATATAATGTATCATTATCACAGTATAGCCTGGGCACGGATAATTCTGAAGATTTTTGGGAGGATGTGTATGAGCATCCCATGGCTGACTTTCTTAGGCAATATGAACAGTGGGCGTGCACCCAGAATCAAAGTAAGTCCTTCGTCTCTTTACATAGCTCGTGTACTTATGCAGCTCCTGTAGACCTCAATGAACATGACTCTTTGGAAGCTGTGAGAAAGCAGGTACGCAAACTGATCCTCCAGGGCCTAGGTGAGTATCAATGTGTTCTACACACACCGCCCCCTTCTAACATTATTCACAGTTGCCATGACCGGCAAAAAAGATATTGTAATGAATTACAACAACTACAAAACATCTGTCATTGAAACGTATGGAGTGCACCTTGTGGGCTGGCCCCATGGTGTCAAGTTCACCAGCCCTTCGAACATCGGGACTGTCGGCGACATTTGCAAGCTCCGTGATGCCCTCAAGGCATGTACATGCTACTGGACCATTTTATCACCAGCAGAGGTCAAAGCTCATGCATCTGAACTCGATACACAACGTTCAGCTGGGGAAGTTGTTTGGAAACCATGAAAAAAGTGTTTGGATGCTGGAGTACCTCAGAAGCATAAAGACGGGTCTAGCGCAGGACAGGCAAATAAGGAGAATCATAGACCATTGAAGAGAGCAAAGAAGAACCCTGCCCAGCTGCAGGAAGGTCCTAAAAGCGCTGAATTTTTGGAATCTTCTGACAAAGAGGAGGGGGATGAATAGTAGTCTTACATTGCCTTAGTCTACTTTGATGGACCCATAAGACCCGTATACATAACACAATTATTACTGGTGTGCTGTTCGTCGAAATGTGCTGTCAATCCGACCACTTTTGAGTGAGATACTCGAGCTCGACGTGTCACACAGCGAGCTTGAAGGTTTCCATCACTATGCAGCATTAGGCACAGCGATGGCACGGTAACCACATCACATGAGTCTAATTCCCACTAACTTAGTTAGTGGGTTTTACAGGGTGAACTGGATTTCCACTAAATTTTCACTTTTATTGAATTGGGGTTGAAAATCTCATTTGCGGTGCTGTGGCGGTGTTCTTGACCTTTCTCAGCTCCTTAGTAAAGGTGTGATTGATTGATGCACAAATAAAGGCCATGTTGGTGTTTCGCCCTCCTGTCAAGCTCAATGCTTTATCCTCACCATACAATTGTTCACTGGTCGCTTCCCGGTCTCAGTTTCTTTCGATGGTGCACTCCTGAACACCTTGGTGTCAGTGGGTGTTGGTATTTCATTTGGCTGCCCAGTCGTTGGTTCTATGTTCATGGCTGTTCTGACAACAACCTATGAGGGACAGCCCCTAAGCACTGATGTGTTATTCGAGGTGGCCGCGGTGCTGCACAATGATGTGGTCGTCAGTTCTAATTGGTTAGCTGCTTGGAGACAAGTAGGCCATTTTGATTGTCAAGTGGCACGACATTTGTCACGGCTTTTGGAAGTCAGTGAGTCTTTAAGACCCAGAATGATTTTCGCATAGCCTGACTTTTTTAGAATCCTTGCCTGAGTTAGAGCCCTCTGCAGCTCTTGATGTTTTTCCTCATTCAGGAGGTGTTTTAAAACATTCGTCCCACGATGGGATTGTGCATGAATTTCATTCTTGTTCTCCTTCTTTGCTTTCTGGTAATGCAGGTGTCATTGAAAGTTCTTCAGAGGCGGGCGTGGTCTTGGCTTCGTGTGCTCATTCAGAGTCTATTCTGTGTGATGTTTTTTTGGGTTCATGTATTTCAGGAGTGTGAGCTTCGATTTTTGTTCCTGATTATTTTTCTTTGCATCATCAGTGTAGGCTTCACGGTTTGGAATGTGCACTACCTTCTCGTATTTCAACTTTACGGGGCTTCTTAGTCGTTCATATTCTCACAGGCAAATGTGCGACAAGCGAACATCAAGCTGGTTGTGCGGACGATATCACGTGTCAACATATTCGTTCAGGGTTTCCCTTAGCACATGAAATCACAGCCTATGTCATTGACAAATTGCTAACAGCTCCACCTGATGTTATGACAGTTGATAAGCTGTGTGTGGTAGCCGATGCTACTGGCCTTGAAGAAGCTCATCCTTCCCGTTTACCGCATCGGTCTCGACACAAGTCAGTTAGTATCATCACTACTTTTCGAGACAAAGCATTTCATGCTCGCACTTCTAAAAAAATATCAACTCTTTTTACCAGTTCTGAGCGTCTCTCACGAGGCACATTGCAAGCTATCGCTCTGTGCCACTCACTGCCTTCTGAAGGGAATCGCAATGTGTTGTTGGATAGGATTTTGAATCATGTTACAAAAGGTCTGTGTGTAATGCACACAGAAAATGCCAGAGGTACTTGTAAAGACGTTGTTGCTCAACATTGTGATCCTTCATTGAGTAGCTATCCTTCGAAAGATGGTGACTTCGGTCAAGATGCGATTGTCCAGGCACAGTTGACCTTGTTGGAATTTGCACAGAAGAATGGTATGCGGAAACCTTTACTGCGCTTGTTACGTGTTCATAGCATTGATTATGATCCGGATAATAGCCTGGGTCAGTTGTGCAAAAAATTGAAGCAGCATATCAAGACGTTAAAAAAGGGTAAGAAAAGCGCAAATAGTACTGGTGCAACTATGATTCCCAACCATCAGCAAGTAGAACTCAAGGAGGAGTTAATTTCTGATTGGCCACAAATGGTTTCTGCAGAACGTAAAGCTAAAATTGTCAGTATGTTCCGTGAACAGACGAGCTCTGAAGTGCTTGCCACTTTTGTTTGCTTTTCTTGTGGTGGTGAGTACAACCACTCGCTTAAGTCAGAACTGGTGCTAGAAGACTTGGATCTGACACCGTTAAAACACCCCAATCATCGTGTTGTTAATGATAGCATTGTTGACCTTGCATGGGTGCAAGATAATGTGAAAGGAGGTTTAGGTGATGATGGAAACCAATCTTCAGAGCTTTTGCGGGACGTGCTATATGATTCTTGTGGATTATGTCCAGATGAGTCTAATGATATGCAGCGGACGAAGGCGAGCTTTTGTAGAGAATGCAAAGGTGCAATTAGAAAGCACAAAACTCCGGTGTTATCATTGGCTAATCACAACTACATCGGTCCTGTACCCGAAGAGTTGACAGGGCTTACTATCGCAGAAGAAATGATGATTGCTCTCTGTCGCGTGAAGTGTTTTATCGTTCAATTGCAAGAAGAATCTCAAAGCATACCTGTTCTTCCTCCCCCGGTGGAAGATATCATTTCGCCTATATGCATTTTGTTTGTTGGTTCCAGCACACCCACAGCAGAATGGATGCGAAAGTATGCAAGACCTCTTGTTGTTCGTAGGGAAAAGGTACGATTAGCGTTGTTGTGGTTGTGCAAACATAATAGACACTATCAAAATGTATCAGTGGACGAGCACATGCTCAATTCTTTAAGTGAGGAGTCCATTCTTCCCGTTCATGTAGAAGTAGTCTCATGTGAGGAGGAACAGGATGTGCTCACTTCTCGGTATGAGTCTTGCATTGTTGAGGATATCAACCAAAATGAAGTGGCCGATTCTGCTGCTGATTCATTATTTCAAAGTGTTGTTGTTACAGATGTGGAGGCTACTGCACCTGCACATGAGCTTTGCACTGCAGCTCTTTGTCATGTGAAGGAAAAAGGAGGGGGCTACATTCAAATCCCACATGGCTCAAGCCCTATGAATGAGTTCACCAACCCTGACTTGTTTCCCATGATTTATCCTACTTTGTTTCCTTTTGGTGTCAGCGGCTTCGAACACCCTTGGCATAGTACAAAACTGTCTTTAAAGCGTCAGGTGAAGCATCTTTTCAATCTTGCAGATAAGCGTTTTCAAGAGCACTACTCTTTTCTGTTTATCGTTTTTAACATGTTGCGAAGGCGAACCTCCCTTTTACATACAAGCCTCAAGGTGAAATGTTCATCTTTTGATGATGTGGCTGCTAAAATTGCATCTGTCTCTGCTGATGCAGTACATTCTGTGGCTGAGTGTGTGGTAAACAGGGACTTTACAATAGCCTATACACCAGAGGAAAAAAAGGTGCAGCAATTGTTGAAGGAGGTAAATGGTGTCACCTCACATGTGGCAGGATCCGGCTCTGCTCACATAGTTATGCGCAATCAGATGCAAGCTCTCATGATCGACAAGGGCTTGCCCAATTTTTATATCACAATTAATCCAGCCAACGTCTATAACCCGATTGTGAAGTTCCTTGCAGGAAGTGATATCAATATCGATCAAATGCTTCCAGAAGACATCCCACAGTATTCTCAATCAATACTAATTGCGCGAAATCCCGCTGTGGCAGCCAAGTTTTTTGATTTGTACATGACATCGTTCATGTCTGCCGTATTGGGATATGACAAACAAGCAAAGACTGTCTCTGAGGGAGCGCTTGGGCGTGTTAAAGCGTATTATGGCTGTGTAGAAGCTCAAGGTAGAGGTACTCTTCATTGTCATATGATGGTATGGTTGGAAGCAGGTCTTGATCCTAACGAAATAAAGCAGCAAATAGTGGATTCAAATGATACAGACTTTCGAGACCGGTTATTGTGGTTTCTCGATGATAGCATATCAAACAGCGAACCGAAATATCCTGACCCTGGTTTAAAGGTGTTGTCATCGGAACATCATCCATGCTCATTGAGAGGTTTGGGCAATATGTCTATGCTTTCGGATGAGCAGCTGTTCATTGCAGATCAAAAAGACATGCACAATGTTGTGAGAATGTGCCAGGTGCACAAACACAGTGCTACGTGTTTCAAATATTGGAAAGGCCCCCCTGCTCCACAGGAATGCCACTTCAACTTAGGTGAGGACCAATTTTGCAAAGCTAGCTATATTGATGAGGAAACTGACGAGATCTGTTTGCGATGCCTTGATGGCATGGTCAACAACTTCAATGATACAATGCTGTGTGCAGTCAGATGTAACATGGACATTAAGTTTATTGGATCTGGTGCCTCGGCCAAGGCGATTCTGTATTATATCACCAATTATATCACCAAATCGCAGCTGAAAGCTCACATTGCATATGCAGCACTCGATCTTGCACGTCGGAAATTAGGCGAAATCGATATGGGCAACAATGACATTACAGTTTGTGTGAAAGCACTTATCAGAAAGTGCGCATATGCTATGATCTCCCATCAAGAACTGTCTGCACAACAAGTTTGTTCATATCTAATGGATATTGGAGATCACTACACCAGTCATGAATACCGCAATTTGTATTGGACATCGTTCGAAAACTTTATCGAGGATTCACTTCCTAGTCCTGAATGTCAAGTAAATCAGTATGCGACTACACATGATGACTAGAATGCAACTCCAGATGAACGTGAAGAAATGTTTGGAAGAGATGGAGACATTGATGACGACCACAATGAGCTTTCAGAAGTTCAAGAGTGGGAAACCGAGATATTGCAAGACTTACATGACCAGCTCCTGTCTTCCGATGAAGTGACATTGACAGCAGACAACAGTGGTGAAATAGTCGCAAAGTTGAGCCAGGTGCAGGATTATGTTCAAAGACCTGCCGGGTTAGAATCCTTGTGTATGTGGGATTTTATTGCTCAGGTCGACAAGCAATATATGTCAAGATCTCAACGTGGTAAATTAGTTACCGAGTTGCAAGATGAAGACACCTTTAACAATTCATCACCGTGTGATGATTTACATGTCATCGAAGAAAACGAAGAAGAATGTGACAAGGCAATGGCAGATGTCAACAGCAAATTGTCTGAACTTGACATTCTGCATACAACTTCACGCTCATGCCCAGTTCACTCTTTGCCAGATGGACATGTGGAGAGCAAAACTCATAGGATGGTGGTAAGACACCCTACAAGGTGATTAGTTCCTGTTCCTATTGGGCCTGCGCTTCCTCATTGTGACAGAGTTGAGTTTCAACAGAAATACTCGCATGTGATGTTAATGTTTTTTAAACCTTGGCGAAGTGCGATAGACTTACGGGAAAATCATGCAAGTTGGAGAGACACTTTTGAAGTCTTTCAGCAATCGTCATCACTCGCCATGCATTTTAAAATGAAGAACATGCAAATCATGCATGAGTGTCATGACAGCCGCGATGATCATTTTGCAGATCGCAGACAGCGTTCTTCAAACCGGTGTAATCAAGTATCTAGCAAAGTGTTTGGGCATACCAGTGAAAACAATGATCTGGTAGATACTGAGGAAAATGAGGATGCCATATTAGAGCATTTGACGCGCCTCAATAATGCTTCTTCAATTAAGAGGGCCAAACAAAATGATGCCATGCTGTCATGTTTACATCACATCGAGAAGTCAAGACGATTAAATCTGTTAGACAGCCAAACTCTGGGTGACAACAGCAGTGTGCTGAACAATGGTGCACATGAAATCAAAAAAGATGATATTTGCTTGGAAGATGAATCACATCATGCCTACAATGCCAGACGTCAGCAATGGAAACAGAGAGCGTCAGTGGCAGCAAACCCCCAAGAAGATGATCATTCAATCGAACAAGAGGGTGATGTGTCTGGAGTTGTTGATGGCGAACAGTTTCGTGATGCATGCAAATCTGATAGCGAAGCTATCCAAAAAGTTCCGAGCATTGCCTATAATCAGGAAAAATGCGAACCTCAAGAGAATCACGTTAGCATACTTAATATGATCACAGAATTCAAATTGAACACTGAACAAGCTAGGGCCTTTTCTCTTATAGCCAAGCATTCATTGTGTGACTTGCCTGAACATTTATGCATGTTCCTTGGGGGTGCTGGTGGTACTGGTAAATCTCGAGTCATTTCTGCCATCAAAGAGTTTTTTAGCCGCAGAGGCCAGGGCAGGCATTTTCATTTGGCATCATACATGGGTGCGGTAATAATGATAACACAACTGCATACCTACAGCTGTATATAAAGTCCTTCATTATCCAGGAGATATTGGAGGAAGCTCTGATTCGCTATATCCGCCTGATCTTACAGGTGCGACACACGTGCATTATCTCCTATAGTTACCATGCTTAGGTGGGAGTCACAGGTGCCCGTGGATCCCGAATATAATTTTCAACACAAATGGAGATCAGATTGCAGCAAGTATACGCGCTCAGTGAACTAGACAGAGTCACTATATTAGTAAGATATACCTGCAGCAAGTATATGTGCTGCAGTATGTCAGCTATGTACTAACAATATAAGTAATATGTACTGACCTCAGTGAACTAGACAGAGTCACTGAGGAAGTCATGCTACGAACGAATGGAAAATTGTAAGTGCTTAGGTAAGCTACTATAACAGACATAGTGAGTGTTAGAATGTTCAACACTCCCCCTCAAACTGAGCGGAGTCCGAGCACAATGGCAAAATGTTTGGCTTTGAGACTAGGAAGGGGTTTTGTAAGGGTATCTGCAACCATCTCATCTGTAGGACAATAAACGAGTGAAATAGAACCTTTGTCAAGAGAAAAACGAATAAAATGATAATGAATGTCAATATGTTTTGTGCGCGTGTGAAACACGCCGGAATTGGCAAGTGCTATAGCGGATTGATTATCGCAATGAAGGGTAGTTGGCTGAATGAGCAGGTGGAAGATTTCAGTAAGAAAACAATGGAGCCATGTGGCTTCTTTTGCAGCATGCGTGGCAGCAACATACTCGGCTTCTGTGGTTGAAAAGGTGACTAACTCTTGTTTCTTCGAGCTCCAGGAGACCACACCACCATCAAGTAGGAACACATAGCCAGAAATTGCATGCCGATGTTCCTGTGACGCACCATCTGCATCCATGAAGCCCTAGAGGCCGTGTTTACCGTCTCCAAAGGTGAGTGCGAGTTTCTTCATGCCAGCCAGGTACTGGTAAATTTTCTTCACAGCCTCCCAATGCATCATTCCGGGGTTTGCACCATACTGTGCCACAGTTGAGACTGTGAATGCAATGTCTGGGCGCATTCCAATGGCCAGGTGCATCAGCGAGCCAACGGCCTTGCAATAAGGGATGTTCCACATCAGCACAGACTCAGCAGGAGTCTTTGGGGATTGTGATTGCGAGAGGGGGATATTGGGATCCATGGGAATAGAGCAGGGTTTCAAATCTATGAAATTGTACTTGATGAGAATGCTTTTGATGTAGCTTTCATGCGAGAAGGAAATGGTGCGCACGTCTCAGTCATGTGTGACTTTCATACCGAGGAGTGATGCGATAGGTCCCAGGTCCATGAGTTTGTAGTGAGCAGCTACGTCACACTTGAAACTTGAGATAAGTTTGCTGTTGCTGCCAGTAATGGTGCAGTCATTCACATGAGCTGCGAGAATGAGGATATCTGCGCCTATGTGTTTGTAAAACACTCCCCAATCAGACTCTGCTCTGTCCATCCCCAAGCTTTTGAGGAGGCGGCACAGTTCTTGATACCACTTGAGGGCACCTTGTTTTGATCCGTATAGTGCAACATGGAGACGGGCGATGGGGCGTTTGAACTTGTTGTCAACATTGAGGCCAGGTGGTAGTTCCATGTAGATTACCTCATCTTTGTCTAACTTCCCATTTAGGAATATGCTGTGGAAGTCAAAAACATCTATGTCCCAGTCATTTTGTGCTGCTATGGCGAGAATCATGTGCAAGGAGGCGAGACGCACTACTGGTGCATAGGTGTCATAGTAGTCGAGGCCATAGACTTGTGAGTACCCCTTTGCTACTAATCTTGCCTTGTATTTATCAATCTCTCTGTCAGCATTTCTCTTTATCCGGAACACCCACTTGCAACCAATGATGTTGACATTGTCCGGCCATTCGACAATAGACCAGGTATGAGCCTCTTCCAGCACAGTCAATTCCTTGTTGATCGCACCTTCCCATTTAGGCCAGTCGGTCCATGCACTTGCTTCCTTGACCATCGTGGGATCTGTCCCTTCTACTGCCGCTACTCCAGCAACCATCACAAAGACTTCTTCATCGTCTTCATCCATCTCACCATACTCCCCCACCATTCCTAGCTCAACAGCCAGGTTGCTACTCTCCCCCGCTGGCTGCATTCCATGAGGTAAGTCTGTGCTGTGACCATCAGTGGTACCAGAGCTGTCATGCAGGCTCTTGATGTACGCTGATTCGATTCTCACCCTTCCAGAGCGATGTGGAGGTGCGGCTGCCTCAAATTGCGGCCCTAGGTGGTCTTGAGGAGGCGGGGTAGCAAGTCAGGTTGGGAGTGAATTGGTGGGTCCTTTATCAACGTTTTTGGTTCATGCCATTTGGTTGATCAGTTCTGTAGACTCTCTTACAGGCATTCTCACTTCTTCCACATCGAATGTGATACTCCGTTCTACTCCCACTCTTTGCGTGTCCTCGAAATACACCTGGTGCCCGTTGCTATCATGGTCGAACCCTACCCATCTGCCATCCATTGCTCACATATTGAGTTTCAATCTGTTTGTTGTGTGGATCTTGACACGGCAGCCCCAGACTGGTAAGTTTTCTAGGTTCGGTTTCTTCTTGAATAACACTTCATAGGGTGTCTTGTTATCCAGTGTGCGGGTCGCCGTTCGATTCTTCAACCATACAACATGCATGATGGCCTCTCCCCATAAGAACTTCGGTAGTCCACTAGTGTGCAATAACGCGCGGGTTCGTTCGACAATGGTTCGGTTTAAGTGTTCTGCAATGCCGTTATGCTTGGGAGTATCGTGGACAGTGAGTTTTCATTCAGTGCCTTTACTAGCTAGATGATGTGTAAATTCTTCGCTAGTGTATTCTCCCCCACGATCTGAGCGTAAGTGCTTGATCTTCATGTCAAACTGTGTGCTGACCCACACCTCATATTTCTTATAGGCATCAAATGTTTGATCCTTGGTATGCAGCAAGTATAGGTGCGTGAATTGCATATGATCATCTGTAAATGACACGAAATACTCCTTGTGGCCAGGTGTTTGCACGGGTGACGGGCCCCAGAGATCACTATGTACCTCATCACCGAATTTCTCATGATGCGGAGGGTCTCGCACCTTCCTGATGGGTTTACGGGTGTCCTTGGCATACTCGCATGAGTCACACTTGTCCATTGTTGCATCTGAGGGGTCAAGTGTGATTCCAGTGATGACACTGTCTTTGATCATCCATTTGATGCTATCAGGGGCAATGTGCCCGAGCCTAGTGTGGATTTCTCGCATGGTGAGTTGCTTGTCTGCCCTCGCAAGTCCAGCGAATAACTTTCTAGGGCCTTTGATACAGTATAGGTCCTTGTTAACTGGTATCTCCCCCAGCAGCTTCTTCCTCTCATTGAAGATCTTGCACGAGTCTGTGTGGAACAACGCCACATACCCTGCTGCAGCGAGACGACTGATGGATACAAGTGTTACACCCATTTTGGGTGCGTATAGGACGTCTTTGAGGAGTATTCGTGTGCTTGACTTGCCGTTCGGGAGGGTAATCATGATGTTCCCTTTGCTGGTAGCCTCGAAGGTATGTTTGTTGGCAGTTGTGATATGTTTCGGCACAATGTTGATGAAATCTTGGAACAGATCACGGTAGGATGTCATGTGCCTCGATGCACCAGAATCAAGCAACTCGGTTCGAGATTTGTGCTGGGAGTTCAAGCTGGCTAGCGTTGCATATGTGAACGATGTTTGTTCTTCACTCATCTCATCTGCATCATCCATTAACCAAACACCTTCAGGCTCATCATCATCATCTTTGTCCTTGGCACTGGCTGCGGTCTCGGACCTCTTGTCCTTCCCTTTGCCATCTGATTTCTCCCCTGGAACCAGTCTTCTTCATCTTTGAAGCACAACGGTCGTACTCGTCTACGACAGTTGACATCAGGACATCCGCAGTGAGCAGAACACTTGAGACTTTTGCGGATGCCGTTAATGCTGATAGGTGGGGGTCATAGGATGCTGGCAACGAGCTCATAATTATAGCCACGAAGCTCTCGTCTGTTGGGGCATGTCCAAGCGAGGAAAGTTGCTCTCGGATGACTCACATTTTGTCAAAATGCTCTCGGATGTTGCCCTTCTCAGGACACTTCTGGTCCTGCAGCTTTCGCAATAGCTTGACGGACACAACTTGAGAATGCTTCTCGAAGAGATTCAAAAGGTGCATGAAGATTTCCTTTGCAGTGTTGAGACCTTTCACCTGTATTAACAGGGAGTCAGGGATGGTACTAGCAACCTGCTGTTTCATTATGACCTCGCCCATGCGCCACTCCTTTGTTGCAGCCTTGTATGCTGCGAGCTCTCAAACTTTGTCTGGAGTGCTTGGTGTCCACGATGCTCCTCTCCCTGACAACATTGTGGGGTCTACTGGTTTCTTCTCGGTCCCGTCTAGGTGACTGAGCAACCCTCAAGCATCTACTGACCACAGCAACCTATCTTTGTAGGTCATCCAGTTTTCTCCGTCAGCTGTGAGTTTAGGTACACGGAGAAAGTCATCTCCAAGCTTCATTGTCGAGGCAGACATGGCAGATTGAATTGCGTATACTGTATTTGAGTTTAGTTGTTGAGCGCAGGGCTCATAACCTGCAGCAAGTATGCGCGCTCAGTGAACTAGACAGAGTCACTATATTAGTAAGATATACCTGCAGCAAGTATACGCGCTGCAGTATGTCAGCTATGTACTAACAATATAAGTAATATGTACTGACCTCAGTGAACTAGACAGAGTCACTGAGGAAGTCTATGAATGAACGGAAAATTGTAAGTGCTTAGGTAAGCTACTATAATGGACATAGCGAGCGTTAGAACGTTCAACACGGATCAGATCATAAAGTGGCTTTGGCCACAACTACACATTCCTTAAGAGACATTGCTTCCGACTGCAAGTCAGCTCTTTT